TTGTCTGACCAGCTGGTTATAGAAATGAGAAGAACTGTCACAACGGAGGTGTTGGCATGCAGCAAATCCAAGAATGAGATCCTTGGTTCTGTTGCTCCTATTATTGCTGCCTGAGGAAACCTGTGAAATGCAGAGGGAGCAATGCCCCATACATCTGAACCAAAATCACAAGGGGGCATCAAATTACTACCATGCAGGAGACTACATCATCAGCGGAGTCCTGTCTTCACAATACTATTTGTATCACCAACTATACGTCTTTTCTGAGTCTCCTTCAAGAAGGCGTGATTGGTCAGTACAAATGACTTGATGTTTCCTGCCTGCATTCTGAGTGCCCTCATTTGCAGAGACATTCCGTATTTTCTCCTGCCTCAATTCATCCCTGGAAAATCATTTTCCTTGGTTTGGTTTTGCTCTGCCTTTCAAAGGAAAACAAGCAGCTTTGGCAACTTTTAGGAATCTTTTAGTTCAATATGCTTGCATGTTCTTTAAGTATAATTTCCAGCAAAAGAGCAAGTTTGCTTCCCCTGATCATTTGGAGGGCATGTTATATGTGTGTTCCCCACCTCTCAGTATAATAGAATCCTGAAATAATGGAGTTGGAAGGAACCCCATAAGGCCCCCGAGGTCCATCTCTGTGCTGAAAGCAGGACTGTGAGTTAAAGCAGCCCTAAGAGGTGGCTGTCCAGTTGCATTTTGAATGCCTCCAGTGTCATTGGTTATGTTGTCATACTGCTCCATCAGTCAGGACACATTTCTCGATATTTAGGCTTTAGGTAAGCTGTTCCCATTCTTCCATGTTCTGCACTGTGGGATGATGGAGAAGAGATTCTGGACCCCCTCTCAGTGGCAGCCTATCAAATACTAAAAGAGCGTGATCATAGTTGCCCTTCTCAGACATAACTTTCTAGAGTGAAGGACTGTTAACGTTCTGTAGGCATCCCTAGCATTGCATTGAGATTAAAGACAAACTTAGGAAACATCATTGACAACTGAACTCTCCTTCTGAGGTCATGCTTCTACCTTACATCTGAGTGAAAAGATAATTTAAGACAAAACATTCCGGTTGGACATTTGTGTTCATGTCTTCTATCTAAGGAGCAGATCGTCCACTTTGAAAATATATATAAAGAAAGTACATTGACTCAAAATGCTTTTTAAACAGGAAAGGACATTTTGTTTTTATTAAATCAAAGGTAACAATGGAATCTCTCCATTTTTCAGTTTGCTGCCTATGAAGTACTGGCATATCCTGGCCTTCCTGTTTGCCATCCAGGAGGTGAATCAGAATCCCAGGCTCTTACCCAACATCAGCCTGGGCTATGACCTGTATAAATCCTATTTTGATGGAAGAACCACATCCTATGCCATGCTGCAGCTGCTTGTGGGTGGGGAAAGCACCCTTCCCAATTACAGGTGTGGGAGAAGAAATAACCTCCTGGCCATTCTTGAAGGGACTGAATCTGACCTTTCCACCCATATTTCCACCATGTCAGGCATCTACAAAATCCCACAGGTAGGAGGTGGGAGGGGTGAGGAAGCAAAGTGCAGAGAAATGGGGGTGGAGCATGTGCTTGACTCAGTTCTCAGTCTGATGGCTTTCCTTCCCCCTGGCAATGCATGTCCCCAGGACTATAAGATACAAGTAAGTCATGACACTATGGTGTTTGGGGGTGGGATGTGAAGCATGAAAAGTGAGGAAGAGTTATAATCAAAGCCAGTATTGATGTAACAGCCCTTGTGTTCCAGGCCCATTCTCCCATCCTGACTATCCCTGCTTTTTTCTTTGTGGCATTTGTTGTGATGTGCCATCAAGTCATCTCCAACTTATGGGGGCGGGGGCTGTGAGTGAGAGTACTCCAGAATGTCCCATCCATGGCAGCTCTGCTCAGCTCTTGGAAATTCCAGGCTGCAACTTCCACTGTGGAGTCAACTCATCTCATGTGTGGTCTACATTTTCTCCTTCTGCCTACAACTTTCCCTAGCATGATGGTCATCACCAGAGAGGGATTTTGTTGTGGTTGGTTTTTTACACAGCTGGAATGGAAAGCTGAGATAAGTTAGCTCTTCACTTCCACCTACATGATCTAAACCACTGTCCTCACCAGGGGACCTCTGACTTTTCACTCTTTGAATTCTTACTTCTTGCAGTGATATCCCATCAAAGCAATTCCCAGAGATATCAGCTGTAGCAGTCTTGCAAGTCAAGCTACTACCACTTCCTTGCTTCTAGCTTTAATGTAAGGCAGAAGGCTCAATCAGTATCGAAGTTAGTAGGAGGTATCTGATCTTTATCCTGAAAGCAGAACATCACAAAGCAATATTTTCTTGCTTTCCTCACTAGCTCAGTTTTGGCTTTGTTACTCATACTCTTCGTGACAAAACCCGTTTCCCTTTTGTCTCCCGGACGGCCCCAGAGGAAGAAAGTCAATTCCCTGGAATTGTCCAGCTGCTCATGTATTTTGGATGGACATGGATTGGTCTCTTTGCCCCAGACACAGACAATGGCGAGAGGTTTGTTCATGCCTTATCGCCAATGCTGATCAGCCATGGAATTTGTGTCGCCTTCTCAAAAAGGCTGCCACGCAATATTGTACAGCAAATGTCCCAGAGTGACCTGTCTGTGAGGTGGAATCATGTGAATACAATTGTCTACTATGCAGACTCTCACTATGGCTGTGTTCCGATTCTCATGCTACAAAAAACACTAGAAAAGAAAAAAAATGGGGCAAAAGTCTGGATCACAACAACATTTCAGGACATGAACATCATGTTGTCTTATGACCATGAAGACTTTGTGTTCCTTCATGGTTCATTGTCGCTCATCAGGCTGAATAAAAAAAGGACAAAATATGATTATTATACACCAGAGTCCTATATTCTGAAAGTGTTTTTGCAGAGAGGTTTTAACTGCTTCTCTTTCAAGCACGCGCTGTCCATGAAAGCCTGGAGTAGATGTGCAGAAAAAGAGAAACTGAAGATTTTGCCCCAGGAGGAGGTGGAGAGGGCCCTGTCTCAAGACAGCTTCAGTACCTACAACAGTGTCCTAGTTGTGGCCCATGCCCTGCAGGCCGCATCTTCATCGCTATCCAAACGAACATGGAGGATGGGTGGAGCAGACAGATTGGAGCATCAACGCTTGCAGCCGTGGCAAGTATGCATGCCCTCTTCTCTTAGCTGCTCCACTGCAAAAGATAAAGAATCAGGATGCAGATGACTGGAGCCATGGCAGAGCACATGAACTGCATGATAACTCAGACAGGAAACAGAACAACTTGTGCTGCATCTTTTGCATCCTCCAGGAGCCATCAGGGTGATGTTTTTGGAATGGCTTATTATGAGCACTTACTCTTATGGATGAACCTATGGATCTTTGTGATCCTTCTGTGGTTTGGTGTGAAAAAAAGCAGAGTGAAGGGGAGAGGGGGAAGATGGAGTGAATGACAAAAGAAAAGTGAATACAATAAAAGTAGATAGTTTGGGTAACTCCATGCACAGATTTGTTCCTTCCCTTTAAATAAACTATGTCTTGTTCTAAGTTGTTGTGGGATTAACATCATGGTGCCTGCTATTATTTTTCTCCTGCTCTCATTTTACTCTCATGACAGGTACAGTGACTTTTAGGGTTCAGGTTACACTTACAATTGGATTTGTGGGAATACATTTGAGACTGTGACAAACCAATGACTGAGTCCAGAAGTTATGTGCACAGGCCAGAATAGATCAGACATGCATGTGTGAAAGGTAAAGAAACACCATTTCCAAGTGCTCCTTTCTTCCTCTGTCATTTTAGCTCCATGTGTTCTTAAGACAAGCCCATTACTGGAATGTTTCCATGGATCAAAATAGGGAAGCTGGCTTTGTTATTGTGAACTGGGTGCTGTTTCCCAATAGGACACGTGGCAGAATGAGAATTGGGAGTTTCAGGCAACAGAGATCCCAGGACATAAATACCACAATCCAGGCAGAATCCATTGTGTGGCCTCCGCATTTTAATGAGGTAAGGGAGGTTACCTTAGAATCCTGGAAGAGTAGAATTGGAAGAGCCTATGGCTCTGACCCCCTTCTCAGGGTAGGACTCCCAGTTAAACCATCCCCCTCAGATGGCCATTCAGTTTCATCTTGAATACCTCCAATGTGGGAGAGCCCACAACCTGCCTAGCTCATGGGTTTCATTGTTGTCCTACTCTAACAGCCAGGAAATTGTTCCTGCTATCCAGTTGAACTAGGGCTTGGAACAATGACTTAACTCAATAGTGTGCCATAACTTTGGTAATCATATGTCAAACTGTTATCATATGTGGAATAATACATATGAAACTCCCAATTAACACAGTTCTCCATTGAGTGTAGTGAATGTTTTGCTGTTAAGCAGCATGCACAGGATTACATTGTAAAAACAACTGTCACAAGCATGCCTTTCCCTGCTTCCCTTTCCTGCAGGTTAAGGTGAAATGCTTCTACAATGCAGTCCTTTACTGAGCTAGCCTAGCAAGTCATACAATTGTTAAGAAGTATCTTCTGGCTAATTGGTGATTCTTGATATTCATTCTTGTGCATAGGAATAGGAATGTGCATATGTATCTGTGTGTACATCAGTGTGAATAGACCATTCTTCAGGAAGGCTCTCAGAACTGTGTGCACTGTCCATACCTGTGGTAGAAGTGGATTCTGAACAAAATTCCCTCTCCTACTGTCCCCTCTAAAAGGGGCTGGCTCCATCCTCAGGAAGGTTTCTGCTGCTTGTATTAATTGATATGCTAATTTGTCTTGATGTACCACTGGGTTTACCTGCTGTAAATACCTTGGTATCATCAGCAAACACAGTCACTTTATTGCTTACTGCTTACCTCTGTTCCCGGATCATTTATGTATAGGTTGGAAATCGTTGCTCTTACTACAAAATGCTGCAGGACACCACAAGTTCCTTCCCTCCCTTGGGATCAGTGATCATTCATCCCTACTCTCTTCTTCCTGATCTTTAGCCTGTGCCTGGTCCATAAGAGGACTCCTCTCTCATTCCATGACTGCTAAATGTGTGTTTCACCTCCATAAACACATCCACATCCATTTTATTTCTATTTTCATCTTTTTTTATTTTTCTGTTGTAAACTGTCCTGGGATGTCTGAGAAGGGACAGTATAATTTAAATAAATAAATAAAATAAATATGTATATAAACACACTTTCTTGATGCACTTCACTGTGTTGCAGAGTGTACCTCAGTCAAGGTGCTCTGAGCGCTGTCGCCCTGGCTATGCCAAGAAGGTTCAGGAAGGAGCACCACCATGCTGTTTTCTCTGTGCTCCATGTGCAGAAGGGACCATCTCCACCCAAGAAGGTGGGTGCCCTCAGAGGAACGGAGTTCACTCGGGGAGTAGGTTAATCATTTGAGTTTGTTGAAATCATTCCCGCTTTATTTTGCTATGCCTGGATATGCTTTTTTGCAAAACAACAAGCAGTAAAAAGGTGGCGGAGGAAAGGTAGGCAGGCTGTTGCTGCTCATTTGAAAAGTTGCAGATGTTCTCTGGACCTAGCCAGAGTGGCAATGTCAGAAGAGCATTGGGCTGACCTGAGAAGCTTGAGTTCAAATCCTGGATCAAAGATGGGGTGTATCGGTTTTTGTCCCACTTACCACTTAGAAAACTTGTTACCACTCTGTGAGAATACCTCACAGGACTGCTGGAAGAGCCAGGGAGATGCTCCCGTGTCTGGCTTAGCAGACTTGTGACAATCCTAAGAAAGAAACCACCCATCAATGCATTGATCCGACCATTGCTTTTTTGCTAGGATGGGGAGCAGCTCTGCCATGTTTCAGGACAGCCTACCTGGCCCAGCCACTGGAAAATCTCTTTCTTGATGAGGCTAACAATGGACCCTTCCCAGCATTAATGGGGTCCCATCCCAGGACACAATAGCTCCTCTCCCTCCCTGAGTAAACCTTGCTTTTTCCTGACCTTGAGTGCATCCGTACCTTAAAGGTATTTAAGTTCTGTACCATCCAAAGCTTTCTGGACAGTGTACAGCATATCCCACCTATAGGCCATCTTGCTATAAACTAAATGTTAAGACTTTCTTTTTTAAATTAAACTTTATTCCTAAGTAGCTACTACAGAACAATACAAATATAAAATACATCATAAAATATAAGGAAAAAAACAACACAAGATACAAAAAGGGTAGTAGAAGAGACACAGGGAATTACAGACCAGTTAACCTTACGTCCATTGTAGGAAAAACGATGGAAAGGCTCATAACAGAGAGAAATCTAGTGATGCTAGATAGGGAAGCGAGGCTGGCAGCCACACAACATGGCTTCTGCCCAAACAGGTCCTGCTAGACAAACCTTGTGGAATTCTACGACAAGGTTTCAAGATGGCTAGGTGGAGGGGATGCAGTGGATGTTGTTTACCTGGATTTCAGCAAGGCCTTTGACAAAGTGCCCCATGATATCCTGATGGAGAAACTGAGGGGTTTTGGGATACACCAAAGCACTGTCCGATGGATTAGGGCATGGTTGACTGACCAAAAGCAGAGGGTAACCATTAGAGAGGAATCATCAGGATGGTGGCCAGTGCCAAGCGGAGTCCCCCAGGGCTCTGTCCTGGGGCCAATCCTGTTTAATCTTTTCATCAATGACATGGAGGAAGGGGTGAACAGTCTGCTGATCAAATTCGCAGACAACACTAAAACTGGAGCAGTGGCCACAACTGAGGAGCAGGTACTCCATACCCAAAAGGATCTGTACAGACTATAGAGGTGGGCAGAAGACAACAGGATGGCGTTCAATGTGGATAAGTGCAAGGTCTTGCACTTGGGGCATAGGAATAGGTGTCATAAGTACAGGTTAGGTGACAAGTGGCTGGAGAGCAGCACTTGTGAAAGGGATCTCATGGTGCTGGTTGACTGCAGGCTAAACATAAATCAGCAGTGTGATGTGGTGGCCAGAGGGTGAACACCACCCTTGGTTGCATAGCCAGAAGTGTGGCTTCTAGATCGAGAGAGGTATTGCTACACTCTATATGACTCTGGTGCACCCGCAACTGGAGTATCATGCTCAGTTTTGGGCCCCTCAATACAGAAAGGTTATAGCCAGGTTAGAGTCAGTGCAGCGTAGGGCCACAAGGTTGGTGGCTGGTTTGCAAGGGATGCTGTATGAGGCAAGACTGAGGGAAGTGGGTCTCTTCAGCCTGGAGTAGAGGAGACTCAGAGGGTATAAGTTGGCAACATACAGGTATGTAAGGGGATGTCACACGGAGGTGGGTAGAGACCTGTTCTCCCTTGCAGAGGAAGGCAGGACACGCTCCAATGGAGCAAAGCTTAGGGAGTCAAGGTTCCATTTAGATGCCAGGAAGCACTTCCTGAAATTTAGGACCCCGTGGGTATGGAATGGTATTCCACGGGACATGGTTGAGGCCCCATCGCTGAGGGTGTTCAAAGATAGGCTGGACATGCACATGGTGGGCATGTCATGAGTGGAGCTGGCTGGAACCGGGGGCCAGACTAGATGGTCCAGGAGGTCCCTTCTGATTCGCTCTGTTTCTATGTTTCTAAAATAACCATATATAAAAATAATTATTGCACCACCCCAGTGGGACCATGGCTATATAATATTTCTTCCTTCATTTTGTTCTTGTTCTCTGCTTCTACTAATTTCTGCTCTTCAGGAATACCCCTTCCATCCAAAATTCCATTGAACCAACCAAAAGTTTAATGCCATTACCTTTTATTAATACATATTCCATAATGTATTAAATTCATTCTCCTTTATCAATCCTTTTTCATCCTGTTCCTGCACATTAACTTAGCATTAGCAGCTCTGTTCCATATTACTTTAAACCATTAAATTAACTGAAGTTGCTTTTTTCCCTTCCAGTTCTTTGCTATTATTCATTTGGTTGCTATTACCAAATTTGTTATTAATCCTTTAGTGTTCTATTTCCATGTATTTTCAAAAAATATTAATGGTAGCACTATTTTCAGTAATGTTTTAATTTTTGCATTACCAATCTCTTTACACAACCATTCTCTGAGATGTCTAAATGTTTTCACAAGCCCAACACATAGAGAAAACCCCAATTTTTGAGTATCCCTCCGACATAAATTAGAATATTAGCTATCCATATACAATAATTTTACCAGTGTTATCCTGTATTTTCCCCATTCTTCCTTGTCTATAACCATTCCTAAGTCCATTTCTCATGAGATTTTAAGGAGACCATATACTCTTGTATCCTCTCTGTCTAATAATTTCTCGTAAATCTCAGGTATGATCTCCCTTGTTAGAGTACTACCTTGAGTCCCTATACAACACCGTCTCTTCACATTTGTTCTGGTCTTTACATGTAGCACTTCTCTTTATCCATTCTTAAATCCATTGTTCTGTTTTACATTAAACCAGATTTCATTTTATTTCCATAATAATGCCATTATCCTTTCCTTATCTGTTTTCTCCATCCAATCCATTACCTTAAATATTTGTTTTTCTTTTAATACCTTTCTTTTGCTATCTGCTGCTCCATGTCCAGTTCTCAATGTTGTTTCTTGACCTGCATACAGGTTTCTCAAGAGACACATAAGATGGTCTGGAACACTCATCTCTTTAAGAACTTGCCACAATTTGTTGAGATCTACACAATCAAAGGCTTTAGCATAGTCGATGAAGCAGAAGTAGATTTTTTTCTGGAACTCCCTAGCTTTCTCCATGATCCAGGGTATGCTGGCAATTTGATCCCTAGTTCTTTTGCCTCTTCAAAACCCTGCCTGTACTTATGGTAGTTCTCCAGTCTTGCCTGGAATGTCCTGGAACATTGTCATTGCCCTCCTCTGGGCCTGCTGTAATTTTTCTTCATCTTTTTTAAATCTTTGTGCTCCAAACTGGACATAGTATTCCAGATGAGGTCTGACTAGTGAGGAGAACAGAGGAAGTACTACTTGTGATTTGGAAGCAATACTTCTTTTAATGCACCCGAAAATAGTATTTGCCCTTTTGGCAACAGCATCGCAATTTTGGCTTCTACTTGTGCACAATTACTCCAAGGTCTTTTTCAGTTATGTTGAGCCACATATTCCCCATCTTGCATCAATGCATTTGGTTTCTTTTTCCAAGTTGGAGTACTTGGCTCTTGTCTTTATTGAATCTCATTCTACTGCCCTCAGCCCAGCATTAAAGTTTATGAACCTTGATCCTCTTTCTGTCTTCTATGGTGTTAAGTATTCCACCCATGTTTCTCTCATCTGCAAATTTCATTATCTTTTCTTGTACTTCTGTATTTAAATCATTTCTAAAGTTGTTGAAGAGCACTGAGCCCAGGACTAAACCCTGTGACACCGAACTAGTTACCTCCATCAAATTTGAGAAGGTTCCATTGATGAACACTGTTTCTGCCCAATTTAACAGCCAATTTTGGATCCACCTATAGTTTTTTATCTAGTTCAGTATTTACTAATTTGTTTATCATAGTGTCAGTGGTCACTATGTTGAAAACTTTGCTAGTATTGGTAGATTTTGTGCACACTATTCCCTCTGTCCATTTGGGAGGTCATTGAGTCAGTTTCTATTAATCAATGCTTTATCTTCAAGACCCTTGCAGTCTTATTTTTTAATAATATTCTCCATAATTTGTCCATGGATTAATGGAAGACTAACACGTGTATAGTTCACAAGATCAACTTGTTTCCCTTTTTCGAAGATAGGGATGATGCTAGCCCTTTTGCATTAAGCTGGACTATTTAAAAACCCAAGGCATGTATGACTCATCAAGGCATTGTGTTACCTTAAATATCCTTTGTCCCCTGTGCTCAGAGGACCATCTTAACCTAGTGTGGGAAGGATGAAAAAGTTGGTCCCTGCAAGGGCAAAGATAATTTCACAACTGTGGAGCTGTCATAAAGAAGGCCGTGCCTCCCAACAGCTACCATCCAAGACTCCTTTGATGGCGACACCGAGAAGAAGCCCCACAAGATTATTGTAGCATATGCGTAGGCATTCCATGAAGTATTGACATCCCAAACCATGTTGAATCAAAATTAAGTAAGACACAGATGGTTGGGGATATAACATTGCTGCTAGTAATACTGAAATCATTCTCCCTTTATTCAGATGATAGTAGTGAATGTGTAGATACACAGGGAGAGGCATTCTATGAAATATTGATGTCCCAAACTATGTTTGATCAAAATGAAATACAGATTTGTCACATTGCTGTTAGCGATGCTGAAATCCCTTTCCCTATTTTCAGATGCAGAGCATTGCACCAAGTGTCCAGAAGATCAGCATCCAAACACGGAGAGAGATCGATGTGTCCCCAAGATCGTAACCTTCCTGTCCTATGAAGAACCTCTGGGAACTGTCCTGGCTACCTTTGCCCTGTTCTTCACTTTAACTTCTTGTTTTGTGTTAGCAATTTTCATTAAATATCTGGAAACGCCAGTAATCAAAGCCAACAACCGAGACCTTTCCTATATTCTGCTGGTCTCCCTCCTGCTTTCCTTCCTGATCTCCTTCTTATTCATTGGGCCACCACAAAACATGACTTGCCTCTTCCGACAAACAGCCTTCAGCATCATCTTCTCAGTTGCCAGCTCTACTGTGTTGGCCAAGACAGTCACTGTGGTGCTGGCCTTCCTGGCCACCAAGCCAGGGAGCAAGGTGAGAATGTGGCTGGGGAAGAGCCTAGCATACTTGATTGTTGTTTCATGTTCCAGTGTGCAGGTCGTCATCTGCTCCATCTGGCTGGGCATCTCTCCACCCTTCCCAGATGTTAACATGCACTCCCCACCTGGACAAATCCTCCTGCAATGCAACGAAGGACCTGTGGCCTTGTTTTACACAGCCCTGGGGTACATGGGCTTTCTGGCTTCCATCTGCTTCATAGTGGCTTTCCTGGCTAGAAAGCTGCCTACAGCCTTCAACGAAGCCAAGCTGATCACATTCAGCATGCTGGTCTTCTGTAGCATCTGGGTGTCCTTTGTGCCATCCTACCTGAGCACCAAGGGGAAGTACATGGTGGCCGTGCAGGTCTTCTCCATCCTGGCCTCCAGTGCTGGCCTGCTGGGCTGCATCTTTCTTCCCAAGTGCTACATCATTCTCCTCAGGCCTGACCTGAATACAAAGGAACATCTCATGAGAAAAGCAAGCCAGGGCAAGAGATGAAGCAGAAGCAGAATTCTAGCCCTACCACAATCTGGATAAGAATCACCTCTTCTGATAGAGATGAAAGAATTATGGAACAGATCCAAGTCTTGTTTCCTTCCTGCATGTTGTATGCCACAATTTTACGGATGAGACCAGAGACTGGTTGGAATTTTCGAGAGAAGTTTATTTACCTGCAGGGACCAAGCACTCATTGGAGTGTGGTGTCGATCAGAAAGAAGGCAGCAGTTTTTATACCCTTTTACAACTATGCTTGAATAACAGCGAACAATTAGGGGAACAATAGGGGGACAATAGGGGAAAACACATTTGCACATTTATCATGCTAAAGCAAGCAAGCGAGGGTACAAGGGTGTAACGTCTGCTGTGATGCTGGTAATGCTGGAGTGTAGCCTGCTTTGTTGTCAGTCTTGCATAGCTTGCACATCCGTGTTCTTCGTTAAACTCCCTTTGCAACTTCACCGTCTCTCTTCACCAAATCTTTACCGTCACTCTTTTTTACCAACAGCAATCAATGCAGGGGCTTAGGCTACCAACTTTCTTTCCACACAAAAGAAAGATGTCCCACCTGGGGATGATGGACAACTCACCAGGCCAGGTTATCTTCTAGATATTCCTGGAGAACCTGGCATTTGAGTGCTGATAGAACATAGGCATGCCTTAATGAGTCTTCTGTTCCTGGATGACAACCTTTTTGGCAATCATAGGATCAATGAGGAGGTGGAATTTTGGCCCTTTCTTCTCAGAAACATTGGCTACATTTTGGGAGAGGAATAGAAGCCTGGCTGTCTGGGGCTGTTCCACAACTTCTACTAGGGGGGATGTGATGAGGCTCTGTGACCGGGGGGGGGGGGTGGTTCAAGCCAGATTCTCATCACTGCTGTGATGGGTCCCTAGAAGCATAGTTCCTGGCAGTCCTTTGAGTGGAATTGGCTATTCCCCTGTACCAAAGAAATGATAAGATCATGCAAGGTCAACCATAAGATCGTAGGACCACAGGGAAATTAGGAGTATGGATGAGGTTGAAGGAAACCCATTCCAGATGATTCAGTGTGACCAGCATGTCTATTGGGTTTGTTTCCAGAGAAACAGGGCTTGAAGCTAGAAACGAGCCATCTAGGCCCTTGTCTAGGACAGGTTCTTCCTTGGTCTGCACAGAAAGATGGAATTTCTTGGCAAACTCCAATCCCATGAAATTGGAGGAAGCTCCAGAATCAAGCAGAATGTCTCCCCCCAGGAGCCACCATTGACTGGAAAAATGAGCTGGGAGTGGGCTGAGATGACCCAAGTGGGGTTCCCCCTAAGACCACCATGTTTTCTGCTGTTGAACCCTTTGTGGGGCAAGTGTTGGCATAGTGGCCCTTTTTGCCACAATAGGTCTTGCTATCACGGCTTTTCAGCTGTAGTTAAGCAATGCCATGAGCTGTACATTGGCTGGGCGGTGGAGGAGGTGATGTGCTGGGAGGAGCTGACTCAGTACGGTGGCCTTCAAACTGGGACATTGGCGTTCTCTTTCTCCCTCAGCAATCTGCCAAGGAGCTCCAACCCAGCTTTAAAGACTGAAGGGCCTCCTGTTCCCTATGCTTATGACTGGCATCACCAAACATTTCCATAAGGGACCTCAGAATGGCATCTACATTCCCCATTGAAGGGTGGTCCACCTCTCATAAAAGCAATGGCCAGGTCAAGGCAGGGTCCACCAGCAAGCGCCTCATTAAATCCACCAGGCTCTAGTCCATTGGGTACACATCAGCACCCCTCAGAAATACAAACCAACATGGACTGATAAAACCCAACAGTTCCTTGTGCCTCCCTAAGAAGTTTTCTGGTAATGGGGGCACGAGGACATGGTGTGTCATAGGAGTCACAGTAGCACTTGGCAGCCACAAATTCTTGCCGTGGGGTGTGCACCTGGACCTGCTGGGCTTGAATTGCTTGCCTCATATGGGTTCTCTGACTGCTGGGTCAGGGTGCAAGGCAGGAAGCCTGACACCCAGGTTGGGAATTGTTTTCCCTCCTGACTTACCTCATCTATGGACAACCCTTTCAAGATACAGCTCAGAATCTCATCCTTGGCCTGGTTCCTTCTTGCTCTCTCTTACCTAGGAGCACTTCTCTTCAAGCTACAAGATACACTGGTTTTCTCTTCAACTCTGTGTAAGAATGAAGGAGGCATCATCAACAACAAAGGCAAGCCTCTAAACCTCCCTGAGGGTTGAGTTAACTGCTAGTTGGCTTGGAATGAACTCCTGGAGTGGGTAAAACTCAATCCAACCATAAGCCAGACAGCTGAATAATCTAGCACATAAATAGTTTGCCTCGCCTCTCCACAGGTCCTCCTCACAGGAGAAATTAATGTGACAGATGTTTCTTACGAATGACTTTTCTATTGCTCACTTTGTATCACAAAGCCAGTCCTGGCCACAGCATGCCTTGTTCGACTGGCACTCTTGGGGCTTCGAGCTTGACAAATAGTCCTTATGCTATTTCTGCAAAGGTTTCAAGGCAGAGCAGATGTCAGGAACAGCAAATCAGTGGGACCAAAGGGGCTAAAGGAGGTTTCTCACCAGTTTGCTCCCACTTTGCTGAAGTTTGTAACTGAACAAAGCATGAACTTCCCATCTGGTCTTCCAGTTAAGACTCAGGGTCAGAGGTTGCCTCCTTAGAATGTAGGAATTGGCAAGAAGTGAGCCTAGTCCCTACAGCTAGGTGGCTTTTTGGTCCACAGTGTTGACGAGCTTCCTGCCAGTCTGGTGCCAGGCCACCTTCTCCAGCGTGTTCTCTCCAGGTAGGTTTGACTGTATCATTCAGAAGTCCAGCAGCCCATCTATTGGAAACCATGGAGGTTGTGCCCCAAGGCACCTGGGGGAACATGGCTGGGGAAGGGAGTGATAGAGGGAGAAGTGAATTGCAGCATCCACCAGCATTTATGCTTGCATTGTTGTAAATACTGGTCTACCCAAGATCCAAGGTACAATGAGGAGAAGCAGCGCATTTGACAGACCTGGGAAGTGAATCTGATTGGTGTGCACATGCAAGGAGCCCATGGGTGGCAACTCCTGACATCTTCCCCATGTGCATTGCTAGGTATGGATGATGGGACTTGCAGTCAGAAGGTGACGGGGTGCTGTTTCTCTCTATCATTGGCACGTAAGTTTTTCCTAATCATGGCCCTTCAGTCCATGTTTCACTAGGAAAGTCAATCTAAGTTCACTTTGCTGACCTCACTGACCCTTCTCAGCAGCTGGGGCTGTCACTGTGAGTTTTTGTAAACATGCTTTTCTCCGGCTCTGCAACTGGACCTCAGGCCACTGAGAGTCCATGAAATGGGAGGGGTGGTATTATTACTGATCATGATTCTTGCCAAAGCCCAAGGTGCATTTTTCAGGAGTTTTCCTTTGAGATGGAACATTAGACTTGTGAACAACAAACCTCTTGCACCATGTATGAAAAACGTGATGCATTAAAATCACTCCTGTGCTTGCCCAATCTGGGGCTGAAATCTGAAGCACTCCACTGGGATGATCTTGTCTCTGGAGAAACCCTCCTGCACCCTCTTTGGCTGAGAAGCTTTTCTACATCAGGGCAGGGCAGCCTTCATGTTACTAGATTGCCATAGTCCTGTCTGACCAGCTGGTTGTGCAAATGAGAAGAGCAGTCACCAGGGAGGTGTTGACTTGCAGCAGACCCAAGAATGAGATCCCAGGTTCTGCTGCTTCTCTTGTTGCTGCCTCATGAAGCCTGCGCCATGCAGATGAAGAAATGCCCCAGAGGTCCATTTGTAATTCAAAAGGGGGCATCAAATTACTACCATCCAGGAGACTATGTCATCAGTGGAGTCCTGTCTTCCCAATACTTTGTGTATCACCAACCATATGACTTTTCTGTGTCTCCTTCATGAAGGCGTGATTGGTCAGTAACAACATGATGTTTCATGCCTGCCTTCTGAGTGCCCTCATTTGTGGAGACATCTCATATTTTCTCCTGCCCCAGGTCATCCCTGGAAAATCGCTTTCTCTGATTTGCTTTTGCTCTGCCTTTCAAAGGAAAATACAAGCTTTGTGAACAGATCCTGCTCCTCCTCTCAGTGGCAGCCTTTCTAATGCTTGTGGGCATATTGCTCCTTTTCTTCCTAGAAGGCAGCAGTAGAATTAATGTTCCATGGATGAGACTGCCATTGCAATCTCGAGCTGCAAGAAAAATTTAGAGAGGAAGCATGTCTGGGTGAAAACTGTCTTTTGGTGATGATTCTCATTTTCCACTGGGGGTAAAAATAATTTGAGATAAAAAGTCCAGTTAGACATCAGTGTGTGTGTGTGTGTGTGTGTGGGCACACACATTCCATCTAAGGAAGAGTTCATCCACCTTCAAAATAGAAAGCAAGTAGGTACCTATAGTGCATCCTGGGTCCCTGTTTTGGACTGGAGGCTTCTTCTAAGGCCCCAAGCAAGTTGCACATGAATAAGACGTTCTCACTACTGTGTCTCACCAGATGAATGGTCAAAACATTAATGAGATTAAACAACTTCCCACTATTCATTCATTTATGTATTCCTAAGTCACTTCTGTGTCTCCCCTATATGGTCAAAACATTCATTGAATTAAAGATCAATTCAATTAGAATTAAAACTAAAAACATTGAAACATTTTGCACAGTGCAAATGCAAAATAGCTCTGATGAGATTTATACTGAGTCAACATGCACATGGCATTTTGCTTTCATTAAATGGAAAGTGACAAAGCAATCTCTCCATTGTCATGTTTTTCAGTTTGATGCCTCCAAAGTACTGGCAGATCTTGGCCTTTGTGTTCGCCATCTGGGAGGTGAATGAGAATCCCCGACTCCTGCCCAACCTCACCCTGGGCTACGACTTCTATAAGTCCTATATTGATGGAAGAACCATCTCCTATGCCATGCTGCAGCTTCTTGTGGGTGGGGAGAGCACCCTTCCCAATTACAGTTGTGGGAGAAGGAATAACCTTCTGGCCATCCTTGAAGAGGCTAAATCTGACCTTTCCACCCATATTTCCACAATGTTGGGCATCTACAAAATCCCACAGGTAGGAATTGGGAGGGGAGAGGAAGCCAAGTACATAGAAATCATAACCAAGCATGTGTTTGGCGCATGTGTGTTAAGCTAGCTCTCCTGCTGCTGCTGCAGGCATCAACAGTGGCAAACTAAAACAGGGATGACCCACAGCATCCCCACCTCCAAGGTCACTTTTGAAGACCATACCTGGCTCCTGCCATGATGATTTTGCCCCCATGGGGCTGTGATCAGGCTCCATCCATACCTAGTGACAGCACCTGGAGATATTTTGGCATGCTGTCTTCAAAGCTACACCACAGTGACAATGTGGAGGGTGCCCCAGCTCCCCTCCCCCAAGTACAGAGTGGGAAAAAGAGTTGCCAGTGTGGGCATTCAGCCACTTTTACACCCAGGGGATTTTCAACCCCCTTGAGGGTTAGGGAATGGCTGTCAGGGCCCCCTCTCCCATTCCTGAAGCCTGAAGCACTTCAGTAGCACCCAGCAGAAGACACAGAAAATTGTGCTCCTGTTTGCCTGTTAAAGATGGAGTTTGTTTACCTACAGCAAAGGAGTAGAAAGTGTACAGAAATCAGAAAAACCTTTGGAACAGCCTGTGTGGAAAAAATAACCAGATAACCCCTAAATATGCCCCTGACTTTACTTAAACACAATTCTTATAAAGGGACAGAGTCCAAGCAAAGATCTAGGAGTTCAGAATTTTGAAAGCAAGTTAGCAGAAGATGAAGAGTGGAGGACAGCTCAAAGCACTTGTGTTTTACCTAGGCCTGAGCCAATCACTCTTCAGCTACTGCATTATTCACAAACTTTAGAAGGAAGGGCACAGCAGTTCCTAGAATAGTACAACCAAGACCACTCATTCCCAGTTCACTGAGTCTTCTTCTTGCTTGACTGGTTGGTGTTGCTGCACAGTTAGAGAGAAAAAAGGATTGTTCTTGGCATTTTCTTGCATAATGTCAATAACTTCAAGTTAATAGTTGCTTCTAGGAGAGGTAAGGTGTCACTGCGACGTGCAATCCAGACTGACCACCATTTGAACAATAAAGTCCAAATGCTCAAAAACAAGCATTGATAGAGCAGTGTGTCTGCATCTGTGTATCTCCTGAAGTAGAAGACCTCTTGCACTATATTCTTCATTGTTCATTATATTGTGAACCTAGGAAATTTTTTTTTTTTACTTTTTTACTACCTGCTTACTCTGATTCAGAGAAGTTAGTGATTTTGTTGTCAGATGTTGATGCATGCGTGTCTTATCGAGTCTCTTTATTTATTTATTTATTTATTTATTTATTTATTAAAACATTTTTATGCCGCCCCATTCGCCGAAGCCTCGGGGCGGCTCACATATTTAAATTATGTGAGCTTCAAGACCTTTTTGCTCTTGAAGCTAAAAAGGTAAGGGCTAGGGAGGCTTTGAATTATACCTGCTATGTCTTTTAGTATGACGCTTGGTCTGTGTTTTAGCATTATGTTTTAATACATTTGACTTATAGTTTTCTTTGATTCAATTATTTTACATCGTTAACTTGTAACGGCCTATGACTAAATACAATAAACTGACTGACTGTCTGGCTAGCTAACACATGCACTCCCACAATGTCCCTAAAGTTCTGTCCGACACTCCATTCAGCAAGCAAAGCAATATTAAAATTGATGGATTTGTCTTTTTAAAATCCAAAGCTTGTCTGCTCAGCTATTGTTGTATGCAGAGGACTGAATACCAAATTTGGGATTGCTGACCTGGCAGGAGGAAAAATATTACTCTCCATACTATTCTGTAAAAAAACACTGCTGGCTCTAAACCACTGTCCTTTTCAGGTGACTTTTCACTCTTTGAATTCTTACTTCCCGCAATGATATCCAATCAATCCATCATCAGAAAAGCCATTCATGGCGACATCGGCTTTAGCTATCTTGCCAACCAAGCTGCTTCCACTTCCCTGGCTCTAGGTTTGGCCTAAGAAAGAAGGTTTTATGTGTATTCAGGTAAGTAGGTATCTGATCTGTGTCCTGAAAATGGAAAATCACAAAGCACCGTTTTCTTGCTTTCCTCACTAGCTCAGTTTTGGCTTTGTTATTCAAACTCTGAGTGACAAAGCCCAGTTCCCTTTCATCTACCGGATGGCCCCAGAGGAAGAAGGCCAGTTCCCTGGAATTGTCCAGCTGCTCATATATTTTGGATGGACATGGATTGGTCTATTTGCGCCAGACACAGAAAATGGTGAGAGGTTTGTGCAAGTCATATCACAGCTGCTGATCTGCCATGGAATTTGTGTCGCCTTCTCAAAAAGACTGCCACAAAGTATTGTACAACAAATGTCTTGGAGTGACCTTTTCGTGAGATGGAAACGTGTGAATACAGTTGTTTATTATGCAGACTCTCACCATGGCTGTGTTCCAATTCTCATGCTACAAAGAACACTAGAAAAGGAAGACACTGGGTCAAAAGTCTGGATCACAACAACGTTTCAGGTCATCAACATGATGTTGTCGTATGACAATGAACTTTTTGTGTCCTTTCACGGTTCATTGTCCCTTGTAAGGCTGAGCAAGAAAAGGACAAAATATGACTATTATAAACCCATATCCGTTATTCTTGAAAATGCTTTGCAGAAAAGATTTAATTGCTTTTCTTTCAAGCATGTGTTGTCCATGAAAAGTTGGATTCGATGCAAAGAGAAAGATGGAGTATGGGTTCTTCCCCCAGATGAAGTGGAGAGGGCCCTGTCTCAAGACAGCTTCAGTACCTACAACAGTGTCCAAGCCGTGGCTCATGCCCTGCAGGCTGCATCTTCATTGCATTCCAAGTGGGCATGGAGGGTGAGTGGAGTAGACAGGCTGGAGCATCAGTCACTGCAGCCATGGGAGGTATGCATGCTAGCTTGTGTTTGCCACTCCACTGCAAAAGTTACAGAATTGGGGTGAACATAAAGTTACTTTTAGTGGTAGGGTTTGGGTTGGAATTGCATCTTTGGGAATACATTTGTGACTGTGACAAACCAATGACTGAGTCGAGAAGGGATGTGCACAGGCCAGGACAGATCAGACTTGGAGGTGTGAAAGGCTAAGGAACATGCCTTCCTAGTGCTCCTTCTTTTCTGTGTCATTCCAGCTCCATGCTTATTTAAGACAAGGCCAGCACTGGAATATTTCCATGGATGAAAATGGAGAAGTTGGCTTTGATATTGTGAATTGGGTGCTGTTTCCCAATGGGACCCGGGGCAGAGTGAAAGTTGGGAGTTTCTGGCAACAGAGATCGCAGGACATAAAGCTCAGAATTCACCCAGAATCCATTGTGTGGCCTAGGCATTTTAAGGAGGTAAGGGAGAGTATTCTTGAAGAGAATTCTTGAAGAGTAGAATTTGAAGTGACTTCAGGTCCAAACCCATGCTCAGTGCAGGACTCCCAGTTAAAGCATCCCTCTTGGTGGCCTTCCACTTGCATCTTGGATGCCTTCAGGGTGGGCATCACTTAGTTCCATCACTGTACTGCTCTAGCAGTCAGGAAATTTTTGCTAATCTCTAGCCACTTTACTGCTTACCCATACTCCTAGTTCATATATGAATAGTTTGAAAAACATTGGTTCCATTACAGAATTCTGTGTGACTCCACAGTGTTACTTCCATTGATCCCTTTCCCCTGCTGCATGATCTTTAGCCAGTGACTGGTCCATAAGTGGACCCTTCTCTAATTCTTTGACTCCTAAGCGCATCTTCTACCTCCATAAACACAAATATTCCTAACACATTTTGCTCGATGCTCTTCCACTTTCTTGTAGAGCGTGCCTCAGTCAAGGTGCACTGAGCCATGTCACCCAGGTTATGTCAAGAAGGTTCAGGAAGGAGCACCGCCATGCTGCTTTCTCTGTGCTCCATGTGCAGAAGGGACCATCTCCACCCAAGAAGGTGGGTTCCTTTGGAGGAACGGAGTACTCTCGGGGAGTAGGTTAAATATTTGAGTGTGTTGAATAATCAGTCCTGCTTTAGTTTGCTAAAACTTGAAAAGCCTTTTTGTAAAACAAGAAAAAAAATTGTGGAAGGCAGGCTGGCAGCCTGTTGCCAGTAATTTAAACTGTTGCAGATGTCCCTCAAATCTAGCCAGGATGGCAATGTAACAGGATCGCTGGGCTGACCTGAGAAGGTATGAGTTCAAATTCCAGCCCAGAGGTTGGGTTAGTGGTTTTGGTCCTAATTACGACTTAGTACCCTTACCCTTTTAATACTGCCAATATTTTAATTGTTAACGTGTTCTAATTGGTGGTTTTATATTTACTATCAGAAGCTGTGCAATTGCTACTCGTATTTCAATTTCCATTATTTCTATTTCTATTTTATTAATCTGTTGTAAACCACCCTGAGACATCTGTGAAGGGATAGTATAGAAAAGCTTTAAATAAATAAATGAAATAAATACTACTCTATTGGAATAACTGGCAGGGCCGCTGGAAAAGGCAGGGACACATTCCCATGTTTGGCTTAGCAGACTTGCTGCAGTCATTGGAAAGAAACCACCCATTAATCCACTGATCTCAGCATTGTTTTTCTACTGGGATAAGCAACAACTAATCTGTGTCTCAGAGACAGCCTACCAGCCCTGCCATTGGAAAATCTCTTTCTTGCTGGGGCTTATGATGGACTCTTCCCAGCACAAAAGGGGCCCCATCTCAGGACAGATTGGCCTCTCTCCCTCCCTGAGTACACCTTGTTGTTTCCAGACCTTGATAATTGAATGACCAGAGGTAATTTCATAGCTGGGGAGCTGTCACAGAGAATGTCCTAACCTTGAAGGCCTCCTTATCTTAAATGCATTTAAGTTCTGTACCAGCCAAAGCTTTCTGGAAAATATGCATCATATCTCACCAGGATCATCTTGCTATAAGTGGAATGATAAGACTCTTTTTTCATTGAATTTTATTAATAATAAACTGCTAAAGAACAATAGAAATATAAAATACAAAATAAAAGAAAAAACAACAAAAGATTCAAACTATCCTTTTTACAGAAACAACAAGTCCACTGTTCCATCAGGACCATGGCTGTATAATATTTATTCCTTCGTCTCTTTCTTTTTTGTTTCTATTTCTAATTTCCATTCCTTCAGGAATGCTCCCTTTCATCCAGAATTGCACTGAATCCGCCAAAGACTTCATGCCCTTTCCTTTTACTAATACTTGTTCAATAAAGGAACTCCATAGTATCATTAAAATCATTCTTCTTGATCAATCCTTTTTCACTCTAATCCCACACGTCAACTTACGCTTAGCAACTATGTTCCAAATTTCTTTATGCCATTCCGTTTACCCTAGTACTTGTTTCTCCTTCCATTTCTTTGCTATTATCAGTTTTGCCTTTATCCCCTATCAGTAATTGTATTTTAAGTACTACACAGAGCTACTTATATTCCAGTATTTCTTGCATTCCCTTTATAAGAATTGTTTTTCTATATAGAATTTTTATCTCTATCTACTGTTCAATAGTTCTAGCTAATATCTATACTTAGCTTCTTCTGCCTTTTATATTACTAAAACGTGTATTGAATATATTTAAATAGGTTTTTCCCTAATACGTAACAACTATCTTAACCTTCATTATTATTTTCATTCAACGTCTCATGCTTTAATCATAAGACTCAAGGTCAACTAAATAATATAAGGTGGATAGCACTGTATTTTGAATGAGTCTTATAAAAGAGATTTATAATTGTAATAAGACTTAGGAGACAGAGAGCTATATTTTACAGTTTCACTAACACCAAACTTTAATTTACCCTAGTCCACAATTCCTCTAGTTTCCTTCACCTTCTGGTTTCTTCTTCTTCTCCAGTTGTTCTCCATCAATCAAGTTGAGGTGTAGTCTCAGTGAGATTCCGCCAACTACTCCCGGTTCCTCTGCTTGTTGGTCACCATTCATTTGGTTTGCTCCTTCAAACACCAATTCTTGAATCTGCACAGCTGCCCCAATTTTTCTTGAGATTTCTTGACTTCCTTGATCCTCTTCATCCATAAACCCAGGCTTTCAGTCTGTTCCGGTGAATTTATTATGTTACTCCTCTCCTTATACAGGACCTTCATGAGCATGTTTAAAGAAATATATTCTGCTGCTCACATAAATTGCCACATCATCAAGTCAGGGGATTATCCCTTTCTGCTTCCACTCAGAGTCTTATTGGAAGCAAGGTCTCTATGTTCTTAGCACTTTCAGGTATTTCATCAGTGCTGTTCTTATTAGGCTCCAATTAGTAGGTGACAGTAAAAAAAGAGTCATAAAAATCCTTTTCGTATTCTTCTCACAGAGTTCTGGCACTTGATTTTAGAAGGGCATGGAGGAGGAAGGGAGGAGGAATCCACCCTCAGAGATTTTGAAAGCTGTACTTGTCAGAGTCCACAAACCAGTGCCCCAACCTTCAGGTCTTTTCACAAGAGGGAAGCCTTCCCCTTTACCCTCTGTCCAGGATCATTTATCTTAGTAGTTCTTTCCAGGTATTTATCTTAGTAGTTCTATCCAATTAGGAATTCAGAGAGAGAGTTGAAAGTTAGTGACCCATTGCAATCATGACCAGATGTTCCCTGCACAATAAGACTTTATATATGACAACATTTACGCAGAGTATAACATTTTAAAAAACATTTTATTTCTTATAAAACTGACCTATTTAAAAACACGATGCAAGTAGACCCTTCGAGAATTGAATTACCCTTAAATATCTTTTAATCCCTTCACTCAGAAAGAAATCTAATCTTAGTGCTGGAAGGATGACTAAACTCAATCCAGAAGGCCAAAGATAATTCCACAGCTGTAGAATTGCCACAGAGAAGGCCATGCCTCTAGCAGCTGCACTCTAAGCCTCCCTTGCAGGCAACACCTGGAGGAAGCCCTCCAAGTGTATGGGTAGACTGCAGTTGGGAGAGGAGTTCCATCAAGCATTACAGTCACAAACCATGTTGGATCAACCTGAAATAAGACATGAACCATTAGGGATTCCACCTTGCTGCTACTGATGCTGAAATCACGCTCCCTCTTTTCAGATGCAGAGCATTGCACCAAGTGTCCAGAAGATCAGCATCCAAACCAGGACCAAGATCGATGCATCCACAAGAGTGTAACCTTCCTGTCCTATGAAGAACCTTTAGGAAGCATCCTGGCTTCCTTTGCCCTGTTCTTATCCTTAGTGTCCAGTTTTGTGTTAGGCATCTTCATTAAGTACCTAGAAACTCCAGTAGTCAAAGCCAACAACCGAGACCTTTCCTATATTCTGTTGGTGTCCCTCCTGCTTTCCTTCCTGACCTCTTTCTTATTCATTGGCCAGCCACGATACATGACTTGCCTCCTCCGACAAATGGCCTTCAGCATCATCTTCTCAGTTGCCACCTCTAGTGTGTTGGCCAAAACTATCACTGTGGTGCTGGCCTTCCTGGCCACCAAGCCAGGGAACAAGGTAAGAAGGTGGCTGGGGAAGAGCCTTGCAAGCTGCATTGTCATTTCATGTTCCAGTGTGCAGGTCGTCATCTGCTCTATCTGGCTGAACATGTCTCCACCCTTCCCAGATGCTGACATGCACTCCTTGCCTGGACACATCATCCTGCAGTGCAACGAGGGCTCTGTGGCCATGTTCTACACTGCCCTGGGCTACATGGGCTTCCTGGCTGCCATCTGCTTCACGGTGGCCTTCCTGGCCAGGAAGCTGCCCGGGGCCTTCAACGAAGCCAAGCTGATCACCTTCAGCATGCTGGTCTTCTGCAATGTCTGGGTGTCCTTCGTGCCCTCCTACCTGAGCACAAAGGGCAAGTACATGGTGGCTGTGCAGGTGTTCTCCATCTTGGCCTCCAGTGCTGGGCTGCTGGGCTGCATCTTCATCCCCAAGTGCTACATCATTGTCCTGAGGCCTGACCTGAATAAGAAGGAACATCTCATGATGAAGAGCAAGCATGCCATCTTATCAGGGCAAGAGATGTAGAAGAATTCTAGCCCTACCACAATGTGGATTAGAATCACCTGTTCTGACGGAGGTCAAAGAATTATGGAACAGATCCAGGTTTTGTTTAAATCCTGTAGTTTGTAGATAGATCCAAAAGGTGAGGGAGTTGTCTTTGTGATGTAAGAGGTGATTCCCCACATCTCTGCCAATACACTTGCTCTCCACCCTGCATCTGATGACCACAGTGTGGATGGAGTTATTTCTGCCATCATCACTGGCTCCATTTTTAGGAATCACTTACCACCAGGCGAGAGGAGGTAAGTCCCACTGATTCTTCACCCTGGCTTTCATGATCCTTCCAAGGGAGGGGTGGACACACAAGTCAGAGAAGAAAAAAGGGAATAGGCACATAGAAGTGTGGGCAATGGAGGACAGGGGAGATGAAGCTGATGAAGAAGTGGTGGAGTGCTGGGAAGATGAGATCTGATGGGAAATGATAGTTCCAGTGTTCTGATAGTTCCTCTGGTTCTAAGCCCCATTTGACCATGGAGGTCACTTTGGGCCAGTCACTCTCAGCCTAGGCATTATTACAAAGCTGATGGTGTGAAGATAACAAAAATAGTGGAGGAGAACCATGGAAGCTCTCCTGGGTTCCTCATGGGAGGAAAACAGATATCAATGCATGGTGTAATATCAAGAAGACATGAAAGGAATGCGGCAGAACAATGTGACACCAGGGCAGTTTTGATGCTGGAAATCAAGCCTAAGGAATGAAAGGGGGATAGGTGGGTTTGTGAGCCAAACCCTTCCCTTCTTGCCCTTGGCTCTAAACCACAATGAAGGCCTTTCTGATGCAGAACCTTATTGGCATTTCACATCTTATAAGATGATACAACTCCACAATCCCCCTAGCTAGCTGAACAATAGCCGCTGCTCATGCAAAGAGTGTTATTGACTCTAAACTGGAAACTGGCAAGATGTACACAAGCCCTCTACTTGGGTAGCCTGATGAGACTTCAGAACTGGGCAAGGCAATGGCTCTCCCTCCTCTCCTGAGTCTACTCCCATCTCTTCCAAAGCATGTTTGCTCTGCTGGTAGGCCTGGGAAACCACAGAGAGCAATCTTCATCTCTTCCTTCGTGCCCTCCCCTTCGGATTTTGATAAGACAGGCCCTTGGAAAGTTGGCAAAGAGTGAATCCCTGGCCAATAGATTCTGGAGATGCAGAGAGAACAGGAAAGGAAAGGAAAAATCGTTGCTTTAAAATTAGACTATCCAGCTTAAACCCTGCTTTGTGCCTTTTTCAGAACTTTGATTCCTACTTCTTATTGCTAGGAAGCCTGCAGGCATTTTTCCATTCTTTTTTCAAATGCAGGCTGGGTTGCTGAAACTTGGAGGTGTTTTAGACCAGACATGTTGTGACAATGTCACACAGTATTGACTTGGTGGGACTACTCATGCATACATTACAGTAAAGAATGCACACCTGGAATACTAAACTTACCTCACGTAGAACCATAGAATAGCATAGTTGGAAGGGGCCATGAAGGCCATTGGGTCCCACCTCCTGCTGTTGCAGAACACTACATTACACCATCCCACGCAGATGGCTGTCCAGTTTTGGCTTGAATGTCTCTAGTGTGGGAGAGTCCACCACCTCTCTAGGCAGCTGCTTCCACTGTTGCATTTCTCTGACAGTGAGGAAGCTTTTCCTGATATCCAGCCTGAATCTGGGTTGTCACAACTTGAATTGATTATTCTGTGTCCTACGCTCTGGTATGAGCAAGAAGAGATCTTGTCCTTCCTCTTCGTTGTAGCCTTTGAGGTATTTATAGAGGGATATCTGTCCCCCCTCAGTCTTCTCAAGGCTGAAAATTTTTGTTGCCCTCCTCTGGACCCTTCGTAATTTTCCTGCATCTTAAATCTTGGTAGCCAGAACTGGACACAGTATTCCAGATGAGATCTGACTGGTGGGGAGCATAGGGGAACTACTATTTCTCATGATTTAGATGTGAAGTTTCCATTAATGCATCCCAAAATAACATTTTGGGGTCAAGTTAATGTAGCAGAGCTGAAGGAGGTGTTGCTAATGTCTTATGTCTTAGCACCAGTATACGGATGTACGGATGGTGTTTCCAGAAATTAAGAGGTATTTCAAATACATTTTAAGGGGGAACGTCTTTATTTATTTATTTATTTATTTATTTATTTATTACAATTGTTATGGCATAAGAAGTTACAATTTGAAGACAGACTGATTTTGAGCAGGAACAGGTAGCTTCATTATTTATATTAAAATACATATGTAGATCAGTGACTTTCCTCTTCAAAAGTTGTACAGAAGATCTTATGTAGACAATTATTAGACAACTGACCTCGCAGTGACCATTTGTATTTTGATAGTGTGAAGTCCTTTGAGGAAGATGCAATCTGAAGCAAGGAGTCAAAGAGCTGGAAGAGGGTGTGTAACTTCATTTTAACAGAAACACTATGATTCCCAGTTTGATCCTCCCCAACCATTTCTAGTTCCAGAGCAACCACGCATAGGTCCTGCACCTTAAGAGGAATCCCTGAATGAAGATTTTTCTTCTGGCTTCCCAACCTATGCTCTCCTACATTAAAGTCTTGGATTCTGAAATAAGATGAAATGCATTGCAGCCTGCCCTCTGGTTGAACCCTTAGAATGATCTCTCCTTTCCTTCCCCCTCCCCATTCCTTTGGTTTGGCCTGTGTATGAACCAAAGCGTGTCTGGGGTACAAAATCTCCCAACATTTGATTCAGAAAAGGCCTGTGGGGTGTTTTCATGACCCCAGACAAAGGACATTTCAAGAAACAAAAATGATTAACTACAGTTCCCCTTCATCTCTTTTGAAAGCCACAAGCTGGAGCTAAACTCTCCAGCAATAAGAATGAAACTTGAACATATTTTTATGCTGATTTGAAGGCCTGGAAGGTGTTGGTGTCCGTGCGAACTAGACATTTCTAACATGGAACATAAATGTGTCTCTTTCCCAAACAGGAAAAGTTTGGATGAGCTCACTGGTTATAGTAATGGGGAGAAAAAGGGTAATCTTGGCAGCCAGCAGTTCTGCCTATATCATTGGTCATTGTGGTTTATCCAGGAAGAGACCTTCAATCAGCAGAGTCCAGAAAGGGAGCAGGGCTGGAAAACTGTCAGACATTATGGTGTGTTCATGTATATCAGGGACGAGGAAGATGAGGCCTTTCTGATGTTCTTGGACTGCATCTCCCATCATTCTTCACTACTGGTTATTAGAGTTGGGGCTGATGGGCTTACACACCCACAATATTGGGAGTGCTATATGTTCTCCACTTTTTTCGCACATTTGTTATGGTTCCTACTTCTTTGGTTGGAGATTCTCCAATAGATTTTCAGCCAACCACACATTTCCCCTTCACCAAAGCTTGCTGGAAGAGAAACCCTCTTCGGAAAGTTCTTGCAAACATGTTTTCCTGCAGCTCCGCAGCTGTGCCTCAAACCATGCAGAAGGTCCCTGAACTTGCAGAAGTCATAGTTCACCTTGTAATTATGAAAACATAGTGATTTCAGCTGAATCATGCTCAGGAGACCTACTTTTTCTGGACGATGCCTTGGAGACCACTAGACTTGAGGACAATGCGAGGCCACTTCTTGCATGGTGCCTAGAAACAGTGGTGCATAAAATGCCTCCTGTGTCCCTGAAGGGCTTGGACTGAAATGAGGCTGGGAGGACCGTGCCTATGGTAGAATTCAAGAGACAGTCCCTTTGCTCCGGGGCAACTGGCCCATGTGAATGCACTGCTGCCTTGGTGGGGCTGCAGATGTCCTACCTTCTGTCCAGCAGGCTGTGGATGTGAGCGGAGCAAGCAGAAGGAGCCAGGATGCTTCCCCTGCTGCTGCTGCTCCCTCATGCAGCCTGTGAGCCCCAGAAAGAGAAATGCTCCTTAGATGCGCTACACGATCAAGATGGAGCATCAAATTATTATCAACCAGGAGATTATCTCATTAGTGGAGTCATTTCCTCACAATATTTTAAATGCCATGAACCGTATGTCTTCTTCAAGTCCCCTTTCACCAGGACTGATCGGTAAGTAATGAGGAATTCATGATCCCAGCCTTTCAGTGCATACTCTTTGGTCACCCTGCTCAGCTCTAACAGTTCGTTCTCCCTGCTTTGGTCCCCCGGTGCTTTCTGAAGGAGAATCAAGCACTCTATAAATACAAGGGAAGCATCTAACTCAGTCTGGCTGCATATACCTGGGTAATCCTTGCATAATTAGAACTCAAACAGCAAAGGTTCTCCTTGCTTTAGAGCATGTGAAGAGACCAAGACAATTGCCTGGATTGCTTAGATAATTTCTGGTGCTCTCCCATGTGCCACTGCTAGTTGGTGGTAGCAGGAAAGGAGCTTTCTCTTTAGTGTCCCCAGCAGGATCTTCCCAGGGTGGGCCATCTGGTATTTAGTATATTATATTAAATATAATAAATTCCTTAAGTGGAATGAATGTGTCCAGCAGCCTCCCCAAGCCAGGTGGTCTTCAGAGGCTTTTGAACTGCATCTCCCAGAATTCCCATCCAGCAGGGACACTGAGTGGGAATTCTGGATGTTGCAATCCAAAAGTATCCAGAAGGCACAAGGTTGGGAAAGGCTGCTGTACTCAATCATTGCATTTACAGAATTTATTATATTTAAGCAATATGCAAATAACAAAAATGAATAAACAGAATGAAATGTGCATTTAGACCCAATGCATGGCTCTTCCAACAAGCACTGCATCTTTAATCAGTTATCCTGTTAATTTTACTGCTGGCTCTTTAATATTTTAAATACAGTTAATCTCTGAATATTCCTGTTGTCATTTGTTGTTATTTCACTGTTTTGTAGTGAAAGCTACCCCAAGACAATCTGCTAGATGAGTGGTGTAGATACATCAGGTAGGGAAAGGGAGAGGGAGAAGGAGAGATCTAAGCATTTCAGTTGCAATGACTCTAAAGCAAGTGAAATGAAATCCATTGTGCAACTGAACATTTGGAGAGAGTGGAGCGTGACATTTCAGCTACTGTTCCTTGATACAAGAATGGGGGTGTTATTCTGGAGGATTAAGGGTTTTAGATTCTCAAATACATCTCTGATATAATGTCCTGGAAGCTGTCAACAGAAATTATGCACAATCTCCAACACTGCCATTGCAATGAAATAAAGGAAAGCAGTGATTCACTGGGGTGAAAAATGATGGATGTCTGTGATGGGACTCTAAATACTTGACCCTTGGCAATCAGGGTTTCATTTCCTGAAGCTGGATCCTAAAATCAGAGGAAGAATTTCCACAAAGAGAGGAAGTAGTTCTTTCCACACAGTAAAAGAAAAAGAATGTGGAGTAATTGTGGACAATAGGCTAAGTATGAGCCAACAATGTGATGAAGCTGCCAAAAGGGCAAAAGCTATTTTGGAATGCATTAACAGAAGTATCACATCCAAATCATGAGAAATAATTAATTTCCCTGTACTCCTCACTAGTCAGAGCTCATTTGGAATACTGGTCCAGGTCTGGACACCAAGATTTAAGAAAGATGCAGAAAATTTCAGAGGAGAGGAACAAAAATGATCCAAGGTTTGGAAACACTGCGCTATGAGGAAAGACTGGGAGAACTGGGCATGCTCATCCTTAAGACTGATGGGAGATATGGTATCCCTCTATAAGTACCTCAAAGGCTGTCACAAAGAGAAAGAGAAAGATCTCTTCCGGCTGATATGAGAGTATAGGACACAGAATCAAGTCAAATTGTGACAACTCAGATTCAGGTTGGATATCAGGAAAAGCTTCCTTACTGTCAGAGCAATAGGACCGTGGAGCCAGCTGCCTAGGGAGGTGGTGGACTCTCCCATCCTAAAGACATTCAAAAAGAATCTGGACATCTATCTGGGTGGGATGGTGCAATTTGGTGTCCCACAACAACTGGGGGTTGGAACTGATGGCCTTCATGGCCCCTTCCAACTCTACTATTCTATGAATATACGATTCAAACTCTCTGCATTTAGAAACAATGAGAAACCTGTCAAGTTTATTTTTCTTTTATTTATTCTCATATAACCCCAGTCCTCTATCAGCTCCATTGGCTTCCCATCGAAGTCCAGGCTCAATTCAAGGTGCTAGTTATTACCTATAAAGGCCTAAATGGCTTGGGACCTGGATACCTAAAGGAACGCCTTCTTTCCTATTTGCCCTCCTGCCCCCTGAGATAGGCAACAGAAGCCCTCCTCCAGGAACCCTCTGTGAAAGATGTTAGAAGACAGACTACCAGGAGGAGGACCTTCTCCGTGGTGGCACCCCGAATATGGAATGCACTCCCCAGAGAGGTCCGCCTGGTGCCGTCATTATATGTTTTTCAGTGCCAGGTTGAGACCTTTTTATTTAATCAATATTTTAAGATGTTTTAATACTGAATTTTCTGTTGCATTTTATTAACTTGCAGCCAGAGTGGGTTGTCAAATTACCTATGTTGTAAGCTGTCCAAAGATGCAAGTAATTGGATGGCCTACAAATTTTATAAATAAATAAATAAATAAATAAACAAATAAATTCCACATTTTTCTTTTAAAGAACTCAGAGCAGCTCAATTCATTCTCCTCCTCCTGCTCCCAATCTTATCCCCACAACAACCTTTTGAGGTAGGTTGGACTGAGGGGTAGTGACTGGCCCAAATACACCCTGTTTGCTCCATGGCCAAGTGGGCACTAGAACCCAGGTCATCTGAACCCCAGCCCCATGTTTTACCCACTGCATAACACTGGCTCACCACATTAGTTTAATACACTGAAGGTGACTGGATAAGACGAGATTCCCACAGCCATCTAAGATTCCCACAGCCAACAAGCAAGAGAATAAAAAAGCACTTTCAGTCGAACTAATGAATATGTCCAAGACCTTCTATGTCCTTTCCCCGATGCAGCAAAAGAAAAGGATGATATATTGAGCTGCAAATTGAAGTGAAAAGGATGCAGTTGCCATTTTCTTGACACTAACTGGCTGCTCCTTTGGCAGATTGTGTCAGATGTGATGGAAACTGGGCTCAGTAGGACACTCCTGGATGTCATGTTTCTGGTATATGCTGATCCAGTGCCCTTTTTACATGCAGAAAAACTTTGAAGATAATTCCAGTGAGGAAATGATGAATTCATCTTAACTATCATAAGGTGTCATACTGTTCTTCAAAGGTTGTCACTCTCCCATATTAGAGAACTGGGCATAAAATCTCCATCTTTGGTTTGAATCCGCAATGAAAAATTAGTGTACATTACAAAGAGAGTAGATTCTCTGCACCTTGAAACTTTGTAGCCATTCCATGAGGACCAGTACCTCTCATATTTCTATTTCCTGAAAGGTTTTTCAATTTATAAAAGGAAAGAGTAAGATTTATTTCTCAATGTATGAAGGATGACAATGTGATATATGAGGTATGAATTTTATGTTTACTGATTGTTTTGCAGTTTGCTGTTTTCAAGGTACTGGCACATCCTGGCCTTCCTGTTTGCCATTCAGGAGGTCAACCAGAATCCTGGGCTCCTGCCCAACATCACCCTGGGCTACAACATCTATGAGAGCCATTTTTATGGAAGAACTACCTCCTATGCCATGCTGCAGCTGCTAGTGGGTGGGGGAGCCAACCTTCCCAATTACAGCTGTGGTAAAAAGAAGAACCTGCTGGCCATTCTTGAAGGGTCTGAATCTGACCTCTCCATCCTGATTTCAGCCATGTCAGGCATCTACAAGATCCCACAGGTATGAATGGGGAGGGAGGGGAGGTCAGCTGCATCTAAATGAGAGTCTGATGGTCCTCTGGAGGGTGCTTTGGGGGAGAGTGGTGGCAGGGGTGCTTTAGGACAGGAGCTATCCAACTACTCCTGAGGATGAGCTCAAGCACCATGGATTACTTCTTTAAATGTCAGACTGAAACTCAAAGTGGATACCCAGTCCCCTGCTAGCCCCTAATGGTCATTCTGGGGCTCCACAGGGACAGTACACTCTTCCCTTGCCTACACATGTCCCCTGACCCTACAACCTTTTATGTACATCCTTTCCCCTTGTAATTCCTGAGTAAGGCTGTGAGGTGTCCCCACAATATTAACATTTGCTCTAAGCCTTAGAGTCTAAGGGGAAAGGCCAAAGCAGCACACCTAAGCCTTTGTCTTAGGTGGCTTAGCTATCCTGGTCTTCTACTGTCAAGAAGCCCCAATGATTGGTAGCACCATGAAGCATGCTTTGGATAGTGCAGTGTTTTCATACTCATTCTAGTTAAGAGAGGGCTTAGTGGTTTCCAATTCCTGACTTTTCTGTATCATGTCATATTTGAGCATGGCCATTTCAGAGTGGTGAACGACACAAGATGAGGCAGGGAGAATACAGAAACCCAGAAACAATAAAACCAGGTTGCAGTGACAGTCTTGAGGTTATGACCACTTTTCCCATGGTGGGCAACAGATCTCTATCCAGGAAAGGTCACAGCTGCAAGCTGATCAAAGATGGAGCACAGCACTCCAAGTCTCTCCAATCACTTGGGGATCCAGACAAAGGATGTGGATGGAGCAGTAGCCTGAGACAACAAACCTGATCTTTCCAAGCAGATGGAACCCCATCTGAAAAGGGCAGTGGTTCTATCTCAGGAACCTCTTCATCCAGCCCATCACTGAGTCCAAACACTGATTTTGGACTTGCTCAGCCCTCCAAATTCAGATATCAGAAGGAAATAGAGATGTGTCATTAACATACTGATGGCACATACTTCCAGATCCCCGAATGAGTGATCCCCACAGCTTCGTGTGAATGTTAGCATTAGGGACAAGGTGATACCCTGTAGAACTTCATCCCTCATGATCTAGAGCTCTGCTCTTCAGCCTTAAAGCAAAACTTTGAAAACTTTCCTCTCTCTTCCTTTCCCCATTAGCTCAGTTATGGGTTTGCTGCTCATGTTCTTAATGACAAAACACACTTCCCTTTTGTCTACCGGATGGTCCCAAAGGAAGAAACCCAATACCCAGGGCTTGTTGAAATGCTTCTGTATTTTGGATGGACGTGGGTTGGTCTCTTTGCTGCGGACAATGACAATGGGGAGAGATTCATGCAGGTCTTGACACCTTTGATGCTCAGCAACGGCATTTGTGTTGCCATCTCACAAATGCTGCCTTGGAAAATCATACATGTGAAGGAACTCTCCTTCAGGTGGGGACCCGTCAATGTGGTTGTTTTCTATCCAGATGCTCACTCAGGCTGTGCTCCAATTATACTAATGCAAAATAATCCCGAATTGAAACAAACTGGGACAAAAGTCTGGATCACAACCACTTTTCAGGATATCAATTTGAACTTGTCTTACAAACATTATAACTTCCTATTCCTCCATGGTTCTTTCTCCTTCATACCAAAGTCACCAAAAAAGACCATAAATGAGTACTATGCACCATTTTTCTTTCCTCTGCAATTGTTTTGGCAGAAAGCCTTCCATTGTTTCTCTTTCAACCATAAGTTGTCTATGAAACATTGGAGAAGATGCACCAAGAAAGAGCACCTGGAGGCCCTGCCTCAGGAGGAGGTGGAGAGGGCCCTATCACAAGACAGCTTCAGGACATTCAACAGTGTCCAAGCCATGGCCCACGCCTTGCAGGCTGCATCTTCATCCCAATACAAGTGGTGGTTGATGGTGGGTCAAGGAAAGAGGCTGGAACATCAAAGTCTGCAGCCCTGGCAGGTATTCCCTTTTCTTTTGCAATATCATGGTGAAAGACCTTCATGATAAATGCATCACAAGTCAGACAGAAGGCCAATCCATTATGTGGGCATTTAGTCAAAGTGATCAAAGGATTCCTAACATGTTCTCCTGGCTAAAAACCCATAGACCACTTGAGAACTTGCAAGTGATCATTTTTCAGAGTGTTTGGTGGTGCTGTTCAGCACTCAAGGGTAGCTCTACCACAAAGTTTTGATTACTGGCAGGTGGCTGAAGTGCAAAATCTCCTGCTGCCCTCTCATTTCATTTATTTATTTATTTATTAAAGGCTTTTCTATCATGTCCCCTACAGACATCTTGAGATGGCATACAATAAATACTGCTGGTCTCTTCATGGGCTCCTCAGGACATCCCAGTGGTTTCTTCAAACACTTCCTATATCTTCTGTCCCTCACCATCCATCTCTTCTCAAAGAATGCAAGGCCAACATACTGGACATATTTTCATGTTTTCTCAGTGCAGGTTCTTCTCTCTCTCTTTTTAGCTTCACACTTTCTTAAGAGAAGTCCAAGGTTCTAATATGTCCATGGAGGGACTATATTGGAGTGAGAATGGGGAACTGGAAGCAAACTTTGACATTGTGAATTGGGTGCTGTTTTCCAACCAATCTTCTGGAAGGGTGACCATTGGGAGTGTGAAGAGGCAGTCATCATCTGATGCAAAGTTCACCATTAACCCAGAAAAGATTGTTTGGCCGAGGCAGTTTAATGGGGTAGGAGAAATTATCTGTGCCCAGTTTTGGGGTTGTGGTATCTGTTTGGTTTCAATACTGAATTGAAGGGCATTCAGGGAAGCACAACAAAAATGATCAGGGGGCTGGAGCAGCTCCCCCATGAGGAGTGGCTGCAATAATTGGGGCTGTTGAGTTTGGGGGAAAAGGTAAGACATTTTTCTCCCTCTCCCATAACACTCAAACCTGGGATCATCCCATGAAGCTGATGGGTGGGAAGTTTAGGACAGATAAAAGAAGGACTTCTTCATAAAGCATATATTTAAACTATGGATTTTGCTGCCAAGGGAGGTGGTGATGGCTGTCAATCTGGATGGCTTTAAAGAGGGCTTGAAATGGTATCTCATAAGGGATTAGGAAATGTTTCCTGACTGCAGAGCTGTACAACAATGGAACTCATGACCTTGTCTCTCCCACACTAGAAGCGTTCAAGGTGCAACTGGACAGCCATCTGAGGAAGGTTTAACTGGGAGTCCTGCGCTGAGCAGACAGTTGGACTCAATGGCACTCCGGCCCCTTCCAACTCTGCTATTCTGTGATTTTATGAGGGAGGCAATTATCAGTGGCTACTAGCCTTGCTGGCCATGTGCTACTTCCTTTGCTAGAGGCAGACTGCCTACGTACCCCAGTTGCTGAAGAGCTTGGGAAGAAGAGGGTCTTGCACCCATTCTGATCCCATGGACAGCTTTTTTGCCACCATGTGAACAGAGGGATGGACCTTGGGTCTGATCCAGCAGAGTCTTTGTCATGTTCTTATGTCCTTAATATGGGGAGCCATGCATATCAATGAAATTCTATGCTCTGCCCAACCACCCTGCTTTCTGATTAATGTCCTCATTTCTCAAAATATATTTGGCCAGGAGTAGGCAATTTCTCACCTTCTAGATGTTTTGGCCTACAGTGCCCAGCAGTCCTTACAATTGACTATGCTGGTCATGACTGATGGGAGATGTAGGCCAAAATATCTGGAAGACCACAATTAGCTCATTCTTGCACTAGGGGATCTGGTCAGCAAAATTCCCATCCTAGTCCACACTTTCATGGCAACCTTTGGTGAGCTTTCTTAACAACATCTTGAACTGCCAAAAGCAAAACAGATGAAGAAAATCTTGGCTAGAGAAAGAGGAACACTGGAAGCATTAGTTGGAAGTAACAGACCAGATCTTTCTCCCCACAATCTGGCTCCCCAAAAGGGAAAGCCCTTTGGCTCCATCCCTTTGGTGGCCCAGTTGTAATGCTTCAGCTCTCCTCACCTGATACCATCTCCAGCGGCTTGCAGGAAGCTTCTTGGAAGGGGTGAAGGATCAAGGGACCAGTCTGGCAAGAAGCCATATTTTCTGCTCCAGAAATTCTCTTTGGGATTGCCACAACTAGAAGTTAGGAGGTGCAAGGTAAAGCCTTGCAATCTTAGTTGGGATTATTTGGTGTTCACTCTCGGCAGGGAGGAGATGTTTGTACCAGTTGGCAATCTATTTCTGTTTGTTGTTTCTGTTACTCGACTGTGTCTTGCATCTCTCAATTTTGTTCACTACCTTGGATCTAATTACAAACACATAATTAGGACAGAAGTGTTGAAACAAACCACACACCAGAGAATTCCCCCTCTCGTGCCTCCGTGAATGAAAAATACTTCCCTGAAGAGAGGTGTCAAACTCACCTCTCTACAACTTGAGATCCCATGGGGACCATTCCAGATGCTGTGACACACTTCCACACTCCACATGGCCATTTCATCACACAGAGTGAATCCAGTTTTGTCAGGTGGGTTTATCCATTAAACACAATTTTACACTGTTTCCGATGAATTGCCTTCTTTAGCACTGTGACACACTTCCATAGATACAAAACCTTCTAACCCATTTTCATTCATGCTCCTTCTCTTTGTTGCCAGACTGTCCCTCGTTCCAAGTGTGTTGAGAGCTGTCATCCCGGATCTGCCAAGAAGATCCAGGAAGGAGAGCCCCCATGCTGCTACACCTGTGCTTCCTGTGGAGATGGAACCATCTCCACTCAGGAAGGTGAGTGACTGCCAAGAAAATCGTGGTCCCTTGGGAACCAGGGCACTGGGCTGACTCTGTCAAAGTCCTACATTGGTAATTGGGGACTTCTTTATCCACGGCCATTTGCAATTAGGGAGGGTCTTGGGAGAGAGAACTTTGGGAATGCACATCCTCCTAAGGCCCTGATTTCACTGGAAGGCTGACCTCAGGCCAGCTCTGATGATGGGTGAAGATCAGCATCAAGAAAATCTACCCGGAATCTGGTTCTCTCTTGCTTCTTTCCCATGCTTGGCCCTGACCTAGGAAGCAAACCAAGTTGAGATCAAGTCCACAAATGCTCAGGAACATTAGTGGGTCTCTTCTTTACACTAAGCTTTTCTTCCACTAAGTCTTCAAGTCACCTGTGCTGGTGGATGCATAACCCTTGCTAGTTAAAGCCCACTCCTGCCTGGGAGAGGCAACCTGGCAGGAATCAGATTGTGAGTGTCATTGGGAAGTCCATTCCAATGGAAGTACTCCACATGGCCATTTCATCACACAGAGTGAATCCAGTTTCATCAGGTAGGTTTATCCACTAAACGCAATTTTACACTGTTTTTGATGAATAGCCTTCTTTTGCACTATTTTATTATTCTGGTTGTAAAAGTCAGTCTAAAAAAAGAATCCTGAGAGATGTGCTCAAAGTCATTCAATAATTGTATTAAATATTTTGTTTTTTTCATGGAGATTTTAAAGGATTTTTGAACTGGATCTCATCAGGAAATCCATAGTTTTAGACTCCACTATGAACTCCATGAAGTGAGCTGTTAGAAAAGATAGGAGGCATTCTGTGGATCTCAGCCTTGGTCCATGCTCTCTTCTGCTCCGTGCCCCTTTTAATGGAAAGGGATGTGGCTCCATCACACTGAGGAAGTCTCCTGTGGCAGGCACAAATCTCTGTCCTTGTTTCAATGTCCTTTCCATCCTCTGCAGTGTTCATGAGAGCTGACACTGAGAACTTATCCTACAGGTTGTTGTGAAGATCCATAATGGGATTACCATATGGATGTCACCATGTTTGGCTTAAGACATTGGCTATGCCAAATTAGAACAACATAGCAGGATGTCTGGATGCTCACTCATGCCATCAAGCCCAGCATTAACTGTCCTACTCGGGCTGACAGCAGCTCTGCAGTGTCTCGCAGAAGCATCTTTCCTAGGCTCATGAGATGAGAACCATCTGTGCTTGAGGAGTCCAAGGGCTGAAACTCCTGAGCATGAGGAGTCTCTCGCTTTGCCCCACTTGAGCTGGTGGTTTGCTGACTGTTCCACATCCCATTAGCATAGAACACTGCTGGAAGCTTAACCCAGTCTCCGTCTTTTCAGATGAAGAGCACTGCAGCATGTGCCCAGAAGATCAGCATCCCAACAAGGATCAAGATCAGTGTGTCCTCAAACAGATAATCTTTCTGTCTTATGCAGAACCTTTGGGGATCTCCCTGGTTTCCTTTGCCCTGCTCTTGTCCTTAACCACAGGGTGTTCCTTAGGAATCTTCATTAAATACCAAGGAACCCCATTGTGAAGGCCAACAATCAGGACCTCTCCTATGTTCTCCTTCTTTCACTCCTGCTTTCCAGCATGTCCTCCTTCCTGTTCATTGGGCAGCCAAGGAAAATGACTTGCCTGCTCCGACAAACAGCCTTCAACATCATCTTTTCAGTTGCTGTCTCTTCTGTGTTGGCCAAAACTATTGCTGTGATGCTGGCTTTCCTGGCCACCAAGCCAGGCAACAAGATGAAGAGATGGCTGGGGAAGAGTCTAGCCAACTCCATGGTCATTGTTTGTTCCATGGTCCAAGTTGTTATCTGTTCCATCTGGCTGGACATGTCTCCACCCTTCCCAGATTCTGATATGCACTCCCAACCTCAAGAGATAATCCTGCAGTGCAGTGAAGGCTCTGTGTCCATGTTCTACGCAGCCCTCGGCTACATGGGCTTCCTGGCTGCCATCTGTTTCACAGTAGCTTTCCTGGCCAGGAAGCTGCCTGGAGCCTTCAACGAAGCTAAGCTGATCACCTTCAGCATGCTGGTCTTCTCCAGTGTCTGGGTGTCCTTCGTGCCTTCCTACCTGAGTACAAGTGGGAAATACATGGTGGCCATGCAAGTCTTCTCCATCTTGGCCTCCAGTGCCGGGTTGCTCACTGGCATCTTTCTTCCTAAGTGCTACATCCTTGTCCTGAGGCCTGGTCTGAATACCAAAGAACATCTCATTCTAAAAGCTTAAGTTGACACCTGAACAGTGCCAGAGGTGAAGAGTTCCAGCCTCACCACAATCTTCATAAGAACTGCATGTTCATACAAAAGAAAAGGAATACAGATCATACCTGGGGCCTGCTCTTCTCCCATGTTTGCTGGCCTGATCTCACCTGTGTGGCACTGGTACCACCTCCCACTGCAGAGAGCCAGATAATCACTGCATTCCTGAGCCCAGTAGGGACCAGGTGACACAAGGAGCCACAAGGGTCCTTCTCTTGACTCTGGCGTGGCTCCTGAGGGTCAGCAGCTCCTGAGTCCCCAATTCTTCCAACTTTGACACCAACTTTACTTTCTCTTTTGAAGCCAGGTAAAGAACATTCTCTACTGCAGAACATTTCATTAGTTACTGGAAGTGCTGGTTGTTAAGCAGGGCTTAATAGTGTCTGCTGAACTTTCTATACTGTTGTTGCCATTTCTTTAAATTAGGTATTAAATTTTGAACTGTTAACTTTTATGATCTTTTAATGTTTTAATTGTATGTATGGTTTTATATTTTAATTACACTGTTGTGAACCAACCAGAGGGCACTGGCTGTTGGGTTCATATAGAAATAATGACATAAATAAGGATAATACTCAGACAGAAGAAACCTGTCACTAACTGCACAAAAGCCTGAGGTCTTCTACATTCTGAATGAAGATTTATTAGTTACATTGCCATAACCAAAATACTAAAGTGCAGAAAAGCTGTGTAGGAGACCTATTGGTAGCTCTGGCTGCTGGGTCTTTGTGGCATCATAGACCTGCTCAGCCAATGACAGAAGAGCATGTGCTCACCTGGGCAATGGCCTCTTCAAAGGGAAAACACACAACTATCCAGGAGGTCATGTGGGTCAAAATGGTGGAAGGATGGAAGAGTGGACAGAGAAAGAGGAATCATGAAAAACTGCACCTTGGTCTAGGTAAGGGTGAGGTAGTGTCACATCCATTATCCAGGAAGGTTGATGGCTCTGGCACATGTGAAGATTCAGGGCCACCCGAGAAATGTCAGTGTTAACTAAAAGGTCCGTGTCCTGGTGAGCATATGCCCAAACTACATAATAAAGGAAGGTCTTCTTCTAAAGGATTTATTCTAGAGAATAACCAGCTACCAAGAAATGATTCCAGATGGTGCACCTGAGCAGTCCTCAGTTGGCTCTTTTATACATTGATCATTACAGGGCTACACAAAACATAGTTAACACTTTCCCACAGGTTAGAGAAGTAAAAAGTGGGATTAACTTTCCCACTTGCATACCAAAGAAGGTGCTCTGAAGAAGAAGGGTGGATTGGGTGCTGTTACATAAAAGAGGAGGAGAATGGGGTGGGCTGGTGTGAATTGTACTTTGTTTGAGCTGCTGTTATCTGTCAAGTGCCAACTGGCTTTCCAAGTCAAGTCTGGCCTTTCCAAGATAATGAAACTGACACCTCATAATGCCAAGAGGGCAGGCCTCCTTGGTGATGGCACCCTGCCCCCATTGTGCCATTCAGGGCCAGAAAACCTGGCAAATTTCACACCCCTCCAGAAAACCCAGCTGTCCACTCAAACATTCCCTGAGTCTGACTTGTCATTGAGTGAGTCAGGCTATTTTGTGTTGCTGCTCCTGCAATTGTGTTGGTTTGTTTTTAAGATTAGATTTAAATATGTTATTAAGTACAGTTTTACCAAGTTCATGAAAAATGTTGAGGTATTTTTAAATATTTAGTGGCATACAAAGCCTAGGCACAGAAATGCCAGAGTCATGGATGAGGACTGCCAGAAAATGTCCCACAAGGCAAGAGTGGGAAGATGAAAAACTAGAGGGGGTGCAATTGGGCCCTTCTCCATTTTTCTGGGCATTTTTTTCAGCAAGGCCATCAGTCCAAATGGGGAGAGGCAACCCTGGGGATAAGGCTGCTGACCTCACTGGTATTTAGCCAATCCCTGTGGCTGGGGCTCCCTCAGAATGTCAGGTTGCTGGTTCTTTGTGACATCATAGGCCAGCTCAGCCAAGGGCAAATGGCTCACCTGGGCAATGGCCACTTGAAAAGGAAAAAGGCTGAATCCCACCCAGCACTGCAGCCAGAGCTGAAAGGTTTCTGGGAAGGGCAGTGTTGGAAAGGACCATCTCTGCAAATTCCCCAGAGGGAGGAAGGTGAGCTGAGAGGGCTCCCTTAAATGGCAACAGCAGCAGAGAGGACAGCACTGGTGGCAGATTATTCCCAGGCTGGCCTAAGGGAGAAGTGCCTCTGCCCCAGCATCAGTTGGTGGGGCTCCTGCAGCAAAGGGAGAAAGGAGGCCACCTCAGTGTCTTCCTGGGTGAATCTTTTGCTTCTTTTTCTGCCAGTGACTGTGAAATTGAGGGAAAGAACTGCCAGCAGAACACACAGTTGCAGCAAGACTTCAAACCATGAGATTGGTGAGCAAATGTTTTCTCGGAACATTCTTTGATCAAAACAGCACCTGAAAAAGATGCGACTCAGCAAGATTTGTACAACCTCAGAGGGTCCCCACTGGACTGTGCCCACTCCACATCCCTGTTTTCATCAGGAACAGAATTAAACCAAGGAATCTCTCCATTGTGAGGTGCTTGTGCTTTCTGCCTGCTAGTTTGTGCAGAAATAGCTGGGTAGCCTTTTGGGGTAAACCACAGGGGTCATTCAAGGGGCTCATGATGTGCCTTTGGCACACTGGCTGACTGTCAGTGTAAGGGACATGGCCATTGGAACGGCAGGCACAGGCACCAGGACCCAGGCAACCAACCAATGTCCAAACATTAAACCTGCTCCAGTTCAAAAATACAAAGTCACTGCCAGGAAGAGCAGAGACACGAGGCAAGCACACCCCAGGAAACTGTGATGGAGTCAGGGGACACCAAAAATCAGAAAATGGTGAAGCAAGGCAACAGGAGGATATATTTTATTTATTTATTTATTTATTTATTTATTTAGAACATTTCTATGCTGCCCCATTCGCCGAAGCCTCGGAGCGGCTCACAACATAAAATATAACACATTCAAAATATACAACAAATTAACAATATAAAATAACAATATAAAATAAGTCGCCCTGGCCAGATAAAATAAGCAAATAATATTAACAATTAAAATGACGTTTAAATAAAAAGGTCTTCGCCTGGCGCCGAAAAACAAATAACGACAAATATAAATATACCTACAGACAAAGGTGGGAGCAGAAGTCAGGAAGGGAGAGGAGTGACACCAACCAGCATAGCAACAAATCACAAGACCTTTATTGCCGAGGGAGCTTCCGAAGGGAAGAGCCAGTTCTTGAATAGCTCCTCCCCAGGGATCACAGCTTGTGTTCATGAGGGTCCTGGCAGCTGCTGTAGAGTGAGGGAGTAATCCGGCAACTACATGGGCTGCTCTTCTGGTGCTTGGCCAGCATGGAGCCCTGAAGCTGCCTCACAATGCAGTAAACATGCTGTATGGTTGAGAACCCACCGGAGACCTGATGAATCCAAATGAATCCAAGAGAAGACTGCCTCGGGTCCCAATCTCTGGGCAAACACAGGGTAGAGTTAAGGAAGAAGATGATGGGGATGAAGTGTGAGCACATGAGGGTGCAAGGTATCTTTTGCCTGCCCTCCACTCTCCTCAGTCCTCCCATGGCTTTTCCAGGGCACCCCACAGCAGCAGTAAGATTCCCCCAAACACAGTGTTCTGTGTGTGTTAGAGCTTCTGCCAGAGCATGGGAGGCCAAAACACAGGAATCTGATCGACCTTTTGCACAAGATGGATTCCTTGAGCATCTCTCTGCAGGGGAGGAGGCTGGGGCTGATGGCTCAGTCCATATCCAAGTGGTACCCTAACTTCCTTTCCTCCTTCCCATGGCATTTCATTTCGATGGCATGAAATGAAATGACCAGTTGGGGGAAATGCAGAGCACAAGGCACAGTGTGACAAAGATCACTGAACCTTAGCATCAAACACACAGACATACCTTGAGGTATCAGATGCCCTGCTTGATTTTGAAGATTATATTCTCCTTTGTATTTAGATCAGGCCTCAGCACAACAATGTAGCACTTGGGGATGAAGATGCAGCCCAGCAGCCCAGCACTGGAGGCCAAGATGGAGAAGACCTGCACGGCCACCATGTACTTCCCCTTGGTGCTCAGGTAGGAGGGCACAAAGGACACCCAGACACTGCAGACGACCAGCATGCTGAAGGTGATCAGCTTGGCTTCGTTGAAGCCTCCTGGCAGCTTCCTGGCCAAGAAAGCTACTGTGAAGCAGATGGCAGCCAGGAAACCCATGTAGCCAAGGGCCATGTAGAACATGGCCACAGATCCTTCATTGCACTGCAGGATGATCTCTTGAGGTTGGGAGTGCATATCGGAATCTGGGAAGGGTGGAGAGATGCCCAGCCATAGGGAGCAGATGAGGACCTGCACACTGGAACATGAAATGACAATGGTGTTTGCAAGGCTCTTCCCCAGCCACCTCTTCACCCAGTTCCCTGGTTTTGTGGCCAGGAAGGCCAGCACCACTGTGATGGTTTTGGCCAACACTGAAGAAATTGAAATCGAGAAGATGATGCTGAAGGCCGTTTGTCGGAGAAGACAAGTCACTTTCCATGGCTGACCAATGAAGAGGAAAGAGGTCAGGAAGGAAAGCATGATAAATATCAGGACAATGTAGGAGAGATCCCTGTTGTTGGCCTTTATGAGTGGAGTTTCTTGGTATTTAAAGAAGATTCCTAACACAAAGCCAGTAGTTAAGCACAAGAACATAGAAAAGGAGGTCAGGACAATCCCCAAAGGTTGTTCATAGGAGAGGAAGGTGATCTCCTTAGGGACACATTGATCTCGGACCTGGTTTGGATGCTGATCTTCTGGACACTTGGTGCACTGCTCTGCATCTGGAAGGAGGAAAGGGGATCTCAGAACCACCATCATCAAGGGTGCAGCCCAAACAGCCATCATTTGATTACATTGAGGGCAAAGATAAGGATGTGAGAAAACTCGGGGAATATCAATATGCAGTAGGGCATAAAGAGGGACAATCATTGCATAGAGCAGCAAATTCAACCCAGGGCCTCATCACTAAATTGTAACCTTAGGAAAAAGCATCAGGAAAATTGTTTCTGTGAGATATCACAGAATGGTTGCAAGTTGTGGTAGAATCCTGGGTTGGACAGATCCATGGGCTGACTTGGATAAGGACAGCTTCAAATATGGAGAAGCAAATCTGTTCCTCTAACGTTCAGACTAGCATCTATGGCTAGGCCTTACAAGCGGATATCTTGATTCTCATTTTATTATTTATTATATATTTAGGAAACTTCTATGCCACCCCATTCACCGAAGCCTCAGGGCAGCTCACAACAATCCCTAACGTCGGCTCCCTGTTTGTCACAGAAATGCAGCATGATCCTCAAAGTTCTCTGAGTAAAATGAACACTGGCCCAAGTCTGGAAGTTTGCATAATAGAGAACTAGACTGGGAACCAGAAGGTTCAGATTCGAGTCCCCTGTTGGATAGGAAGCTCACTGTGTAACTTTGGACAGCCACTGGCTCTCAACCTAACCTACCTCACAGGAGAAGTTCACATGGGCTTCCCTCAATTCCTTTCAAAAGGGTAAAAAGTAGGGTTATATAGGGTAACAATTAAAAAGGTGTGTTTGTGTGTTTGAAGGCATACAGAAACAGAGAAAGAGAGTGAGTCAAAAGGGGCCAACTGGGCCATCTTGTCCGACCCCTGACTCCAGCCAGCTCTGTTCATCTAATATTTGTCTATCTCACTCTTGCCTGTGGAACCCAAGGAGAGCTGAAAATCATCTTTATCACTTTTTCCAAAATGTTACAGACATGAATGCCTCCATTTAGATATTTTGTTCACCAGAAAAATGAACAAGGTGATGCATAAACCAGATCAGTAAAACATTACAAAAGAATTGAAAGAAAAGAAGGGAGAATCAAAAGAGAGCAGTAGACATCAAATAGCTGCCTATTTCCCAGGGGAACGCCTTTTTCTCTGAGGACACTCACCCTCCTGACTGGATATGGTCCCTCCCATGCATGGAGCACAAGAATGGCAGCATGAGGGCTCCCCCTCTTGGACCGCCTTGACGTATCCTGGGCGACAGCTCTCAGTGCACCTTGAACGAGGCTTGACCTGACAAGGCAGCAAAGAAGGATTGGGGACAGCCATTAGAAGTCTTCACATCTCTCTGGCCAGCCGAACTTCTCATCTACAGAGCCCCCAAGACCTCCAAGCCTCCTTAGGTTTGGGAAAAATTCAGACATGCAGTGCACTTGCTCCCAAGGGTGGTCCACCTGAAGTTAAGGGTGGCATTCTGAAATGGCTTGGTGGGAAGCCAGATGGTTGCTGATGTTGTTTTTCTTGTTATGTACCATCAAGTCATCACTGACTTACTGTGATCCTATCAATGAAGCCCTCCAAAATGTCCTATCTGTGCTGGACCTGCTTAGCTGTTTTAAACTCCAGGTTTTAGCTTTCTTTATGGAGCCACTCCATCTCATATTTGGTCCTCCCCTTCTTCTGTCTTCAACTTTGCCTAGCAGGATTGTCCTCTCTGGGGAGTCTTGCCTTCTCATCATATGCCCCAAGTTGGATTGCCTCACTTTTGTCCCTTTTGTTTCTAGGGAAAGCTCTGCCTTGATTTCATCTAGGACACAGTTGTCTTTCTCTCAGTCCACGGTAATAGCAAAGCTCTCCTCCAGCTCCATGATTTGAACACATGCATTTTCTTCCTGCTGGCTGTTTTCACTTTCCAGCTTTCACACCCACACATTGTGACTGGGCATACAGTATTCCGTATGATCCTGACTTTGGTCTTAAACAGAGCTTAACAGATGTCAAAAGCCAATCATCTTATGTAAATCATTTTTCCTACCTGATTAAAATACCTAGGCCATGCAATGACTTCTGGGTTAATGGTGAGCTTTGCATCTGCCGAGGTCTGCCTTGTCACACTCCCAATATTCACTCTCCCCTTAGTACGATTGGGAAACAGCACCCAATTCACAATATCAAAGTCAGCTTCCAGCTGCCTGTTCTCATCCATATACAGTCCACTCATGGAAGAGTTAGAAAACTGGACTTCTCTTAAGGAAGAGTGAAGCTAGAACAGAGAACACAATTGGCACTTTGAAATCAGGAAATACATTTATTTACTTATACATTTATTTTCTCTACTGCTCATCCTCACTTTCCAAGGTTCGATGCACTGAAATCGTAATCTTAATTGAGCACTTGAAAACCTCCCCATGCTAAAATAGAAGATGAATCAAAAGGAATCTAGGAAAACAGCAATTTCCCTGCTCCCCAGCATTGCACATGCACCCAGACTTTCATAATATTTCCCCTCCTGGTGCTTGAAGAAAACAGACCTCCAAGACTCATGGAGAATGTGCATACCAAAAATTTCCTGCTTCTGAGTGATTTTAAACAAGCATGGCAAACCTTGACCTTCACCCAAGACAAGATGGGCAGTCAGTGTCACTCCTTTGGAGGAGATGTTAGATGCTGATGAAGCAGCAACCGCCAGGCAATTGCCTGCTGCAGTTATTGCAGCTTCTGGATTGGATTCAGAGGTAGTTCTGCATTCCCATAATCCACTCTTGAGGTTACCAACCAGGGTCACCCAGTTAATCCCACCCAGTAGTGTTCATGGTGGAACAGATGAAGCTGGAAATGCACTCTGAGCAAGCAGTGAAGACATTGGGTCAAGGAACTCTCCCAGAATATGAACTTGCTTCTTCAGTGCAAGTGCAATGCCCTCCAGAATATGTGAGAAGACTGTCTCAATTGCAACAAGATTCAAGCTCGGTTTCTGGGTTCAAATCCACCTGTTCCTTGATTCACACAGTGGCCAAGGTGCAGATCCAGAAGCAAGGAAGAGCTGTCTCAGCAGCATATGCCATAACCATTTTCTTGCAAACCCCTATGGCCATGCCCAAAGGATTGTCACAAATGGCAAAGAACATGAGCAGACGGATATGCCATCTGAAATTCAGAAGATCAGGAAGTCAAATAATGAAATGAAATTAATTCAAGCATCTAAAATGTTGGGGAGGAATAAGGTCCCAGTGCCTTTAACCTATAGAAGGTTCACAAAATGGAAGGCTTTATAGGAAATAAGATGAGAGTGTCAGAACAATTAACAGGGATATAAAAATTAAGAAGAGCCCTACTCGATCAAACCGAGGGTCTGTCTAATCTGGCATGGCATTCACACAGTGGTCAATCAGCTGCCCACAAGAAACCCAGACACAGGATAACACCCTCCCTTCCATGCTTCTTGGCAACTGGTGTGAACAAGCATATACCAACTTTGCTCTGTCTCTTTTGAGGAGGCTCAGCCACCAAGCTGACCAAGCCACATAAATAGAGCAGATATCCAGTTATCTGCATTGACAACTGGCCTCCCACCACTCACTTAAAATCATCAAATAAAAAGGGGGTCTTAGCAACTGAGCAGTGCTCACCCCAAACAAGAGTGCCCAGAGTGGGTCTCAGAAGGACTGGTCCTACCACAACTTCCTTGAGAATAACTGTCTCACATCAGAACACACTGACTGCCCTTCACACCACCAGTCCTGCCTCCTCCTCTTCCCCACAGGTAACTTTGATTAGCAAGCATGAAAAGGACCCACAGTCAGCTTATTACTATAAACCCTGTGAGCTTGCCTGCTTCATCTGCTCACAACTGAAAGTGATCCCACTCAATCTTCTATGCCATAACCATTATACTCACCCAACAGTCAAACAATCTATCTGTATGTGCATCCCACATACCTGGTTTTTAGCAGTTCTTGGGCTCCATTTCTAAGGCACTTTTGCAGCTACCTTGGGAAGTAATGTTGCCACAAGCATCCATTCTGTTTGCTGCCATGCACCACAGTGCAGGGGGAGTGATAATGCACCCAAGTCTGCCTATCTGGTGCACATGTCTTTCCCATTTGTGGTGGAGTTGCAAAAGGGAAATGGGATACCTGCCAGGGCTGCAGCCTTCGATGCCCCAGTCTCTCTTCCTCATCCACCATCAATGCTCTTTTGGAGAGAGATGAATATGCCTCATTTAAGGCATGGGCCACAGCATGGACACTGTCCCAAGTAATGTAGCTGTCTTGAGACAGGGCTCTCTCCACCTCCTCCTGGGGCAGAAGCTTCAGGGGTTCCTTTTCGGTGCATCTTCTCCACATTTTCATGGACCAAGCATGCTTTGAGGGGAAACAGTTGAAGGTTCCATTCCAAAACATTGTCAGAGTGGATGAAGTGGGCTTATAGTATTCATATTTTTTCCTTTTTTTCATCTTCATGATGAAAGACAATGAACCATGGAGAAAAGGAAAGTAAGTATCAAAGGATAGATTCACGTTGCTGTCTGGAAAAGAGGTTGTGATCCAAACTTTTGCCTTCCTGTGTCCCTTTACAAGCATTTTTTGTATCAGGACAATTGGGCCACAGCCATAGTAGGAGTCCGTGTAGTAAACAACAACATTGACTTGTCCCCATGCAACCAAGAGTTCACTCTGGGTCAAATAGGGTATAATATTACGAGGTAGTCTCTTTGTGAAGGCAACACAGATTCCACTCCTGATCATCAGAGGAGTCAAGGCATTCATGCATCTCTCTCCACTGTCCGTGTCTGGAGAAAAGAGGCCAATCCACGTCCACCCAAAGAAGAGGAGCAGTTGAATGATCCCAGGGAACTGGGTTTCTTCCTTCGGGGCCATCCGGTACACAAAAGGGAACTGAGTTCTATCATTAAAAACATCACCCACCACACCATAACTGATCTAATGAAGAAAGGGAAAGAGTGCAATTCAGTATTGCTGAGTTTTGTTGTTTCTTTGTTTCCAGGGTAAAGGCAATAACTTCTTATCCTGAAATTAATTAAAGGTGGCAGTCTTCACACTTTTCATTAGAATGCAAGACTCACTGGAGATCATTCTGCTTGAGATGCCAAAGGCAAAGAACGGGAAGAACAACTCTGAGATGGTTCTATTCCATGAAGGAAGCTGTAGCTTTGACCACACTAGAACTGAGTAGGGCTGTGAAGCTCAGGGCAATGTGGAGGCTTTCATTCATGCACTCCCCATTATTTGCAGAAGACTTGAGGGGATGTAGCAACAACAGCAAGCAAAGCGAGTATTGTTTTCCTGATTGCTGTGTGAAAGCTGAACAGTGAAGAAAGCTGACAAGATGTGCTTATAGCATGATCCTGGAGGAGAGCTTGGAAATACCCTGAACCAACAGAATGATGAGCAAAAGGGTACTAGATCAAATCTAGTCAGAACTTTCCCTGAGAGCAAACATGAAAAAACTAAGGCTATTGTACTTTGGACATATCGTGAGATGGGACGACTCCCTGGAGAAGGCCACTGTGCCCAGAAAAGTCAAAGACAGGAAAATGAGGAAGACCAAGTATGAGATGGGTGAATTCCATCAAGAAAGCCACAGCCTTGACAAGAGCTGAGCGGGGCTGTCACTGACGGCATTTTGTAGTGTTCTCATCCCTAGGGTCACCATGAGTTGGAGATGACTTGATGGTACATAACAACAACCACAACAGCAATCTGGACAGAATGTAATGCTGTCAAATCACAAGTCTCTAACAAAATGCTTATTACCACAAATTTCCAGAGAGATTCTACGTGTCTTTTACCATTTCCTCTTAATGGTAATGTGTGGAGGGAGATCTGTTTGGCATACAATTAAGAAACCCCTGATATCAGGAGAACTCTGGAAGATTATGAATATGTCCTTGGGCATGGTACGCAGCCAACAGACCTGGAACCCACAGGTTGGCTTTCTTGGGTTTTTATTCACTCACTGCCAAAATGTAAGAAGCAGAACTTGTGCGGTTTGTGGGGTGGGCCCTCCGGAGCTGTGGAGTCTTGGGGAGTGTCTGAGCCCCTTGAGATCTGCGGGTGAGGCCCTTCTCCGGGAACCCTCTATGAAAGAAATTAGGAGGGTAGGTACTCGGAGGAGGGCTTTCTCTGCAGTGGCGCCCAATCTATGGAATGCGCTCCTCAGAGAGGTCCGCCTGGCACCGTCGTTATTTGTTTTTCGGTGCCAGCTGAAGACCTTTTTATTTAAATGTCATTTTAATTGTTAACAATATTTGCTAATTTATCTGGCCAGGGCGACTTCTTTTATATTGTTATTTATTTTATATTGTCAGTTTTATATTGTTATTTTGTATTTTATTGTATTGTATTCTATGTTGTGAGCCGCCCCGAGGCTTCGGCAAGGGGCGGCATAGAAATGTTTTGATAAATAAATAAATAAATAAAAATAGCACTGAATCCAGCCCTGACTAGTGTCTTTCTCCAGAGTCATTTTTAAGGTGCTAGCCTGAACACCCAATGATTGGCATTGCTCTTCCCCAACACACACCAGAAGATGAACTTCTCCAGTAGGCAGATGCACCCTGGAGTCAGAGGTTAGCCAAATCAGTGTTCTGCTCTCATTGCTGCGCAGCTGTCCCCCATCCCATTTCATACCTGTGGGGTTTTGTAGATGCCCAACATGGCTGAAATCAAAGTGGAGAGGTCCGATTCGGTTCCTTCCAGAATGGCCAGCAGGTTCGTCTTTCTACCACAGCTGTAATTAGGAAGGTGTGTTTCCCCACCTGAAAGCAACTGCAGCATGGCATAGGAGGTGGTTCTCCCATCATAGTAGGACTTATACAGGTCGTACCCCAGACTCAGGTTGCGTAAGAGCTCTGGATTCTGGTTGATGTCCTGAACGGCAAACAGGAAGGACAGCACATGCCAGTACCGGGTCTCTCGCAAACTGCAGAACAACATAGTAAATCATGACAAGCAAATGTCACTTCCTTTCTTCTATCAACCTGGAGCCCTTTTCAGAAAACCAAAAGTGATGATCAGTACACCTCATGATTGATGTATCAGGCATTATGCATCTTTAACACTCATCTTCCATATGGCCACATTTTGCCCTGCACTTGGAGGCCCAAATTCAGCAGGCTGAGTTTTGCTTTCACTCACTGTATTTCCTTTACTTTTGAAAAGGAAAATATATAATCACAGTATTGACCAGTCTCACCATGGTGTATCGGAGTATGTTTTCATGCAAGTCAACCCATATGAACAAAAGGTATGGAATGCTTCACTATTGGACATCATGAATTCATGTCAAGAATCAGGACACTAAAATCCAAGGGAGGACTTTAGAACATAAGAGCAGCCCTGTTGGATCTGGCCAAAGGTCCACCTGACTCAGCTTTCCATGCCCATGGTGGCAGACCAGCTGCCCACAGGATCGCTGATGCAGGATGAATGCAGGACCTCCTCTTGACCAAGCACCTTGGCCACTGTGGTATGCAGGCAAGCCACACTGGTCAAGGATGACATGTATGGCGAGTGAGGTGAAAAGCTTTGGATAGCCTCCTGCCTCAGGAATCTGTCGAATCTCTTCCCAAAGCCATCCAGATCATGACCATCACCACTTCCCATGGCAGCAAATTCCACAGTTCAACTCTATGCTGTGTGAAGAAGACCTTCCTCTGATCTGTCCTAAACCTCATACCCATCAGCTTCATGGATGGCTCCAGGTTGGAGTGTTATAGGAGAGGAAGAAAAATCTCTCTCCGCATCCCACTTCCACTTTCTCCACACTGTGCATTATTTTAATCTTAATCTAACTTAGACTTGATGGCACATCACAGCAATGCAAAGAGCCCCTAATCATGCCACCTTACATGACCCTAGTGAATCTTCTTTTTCACCAAATTCCAGGCAATCCTTCAATATTCCCATCCCAGGCAGAGTAGGCAGAGTGGAATCCTGGGGTAGCTGTGGGGACCAGGAGAAATGGGATGTGATGTGCAGGGTGAGAAGCATTGCATGATTGCTACTTACCTATCCACCCGGGTTAAAGGGGATACCGAAAAGCGATATGGTTGGAGAGACTTAAAATATTGTGAGGACAGGACCCCAGCAATGAGGTAGTCTCCTGGGCGGTAGTAATTGACTCCCCTGTTTGGACTTGGAGTCACATTCACAGGGTATTGTACCTTTTCCACTTCACAGGCTGCCTGAGGGAGCAGCAGCAGCAGCAGCACTGGGGGCAAGGAGGACATGGTGTTTCTGCCCTCACAATGCCTCCCCTTTCCTCCAGGCAAGCCAACCAGGCATGCCTGGCAAGTGGAGGCTGCAGGGTCCTCCTATGTCCTTGGAACTCAGAGCCCAAACAGAGCCCCACTCTACTGCTGCACAGACATGAGCAAAGTTTGCAGCTGAGCTCCTGGTGGGGCAGGAGCATTCAATGCATGAGGGTTTTCATGCAAAAAGCAAGGAGCAACTTTGTGCTTTCCTCCATCTGCCAATTAGGGGCCCTCGGGGACACCAGGCCCGCCTGGGCAAGCCTCAGACTGAATTGCTCTCTACGAGTGAGCAGGGCTCAGGGGCACAGCTGGAGGAAAGCAGGATGTTTGGATCATACTTACAAGTGTCTGTTTTCTGAGGGGGGATCGGGAGGGAGGAAAGCAAGCTTGGCCAGACCTTGACTGGAGAATCAAGCCAAGATAGATTCAACAGAAGCCAAGCAGAAGAAAAAAGTTGGGAAACATTGAAGACACTGGAAATTTAAGCCTTCCATCATGCGTAGAACATGCATTTTCCCCATTCAGTCCCAGTAACATGGTGTAATCCACATATCTTCAATGCTTGATGTCTCTTCCACCAGTTTAAAGGTCTGCTTCCACTGTTCCAAACCAGTTTCCCTTCTGAGATGTTTCCCATACACACTGAGGAAGTGGGAAGATAAATTACACCCTTGGTGCTGCTTTTAACTTTAGGGGATGGTGGGCTGATGAGGAGGCGGCATGGACCCTGTCACTTGGGGTCCTGTTTCAAACCCATCATGGAGCCTTGAAAACATCATAATAAAGAGCTTTTTCTTGCTGGTAATTTAAACCAAAGTGCATCATCCTGTCCCTGCTCAGAGACCCCTGAAAAGCAACAGGCCATTGTGCCCCCCCTCCCAAATTCTGACTACATTCTTGTAGCTGAGCGATTCTATTCCTTCTGCACACCCAAATTCGACACAGAGTCTGCGGCAATCAGAAATCAAACCTATCCATAGCAATGAGGATCAGATACCATGCCTGGTTTTCCAGCTGAGATGCTCTCTTGTACTCAGAGCCTGCCTAAGTGGTAAGATAAGAGAGCCCCTCAAGCAAAGAGGCAGAAAGCATGGCCATGCCGGCCAAGGGACTCTGGGGCTCTCACTGGCCTGCTCCACATTCATGCTATCAATGGAGGCCAGAGGTGCTTGCAAGCAAACGACACTTCCATTCCTGTGGAATTAGCAGCAGCACTTGGAAAGACCCTGAAGTCTGCTGCATGCCACCCACTCAGCCTTGTCTTCTCAAGAGAAAGGAAAGCTGAGTGGCTGCACCCCACAGCAGCCAGAGCAGAAAGGTTTGTGGGAAGGGCAGTGTTGGAAAGGACCCGCTCTGTAGTTTCACCACAAGGAGGAAGGAGAACCAAGAGGGTACAGCAAGATTTGCACAACCTCTGGGCATCCACACTTGACTGTGCCCACTCCAAATCCCCATTTTCATCAGGAACAGAATTAAAGCAAAGAATCCCTCTGTTATGAAATGTCTGTGAAATCTGGCTTCTGGTTTGTGCAGAAATGCCTGGGTCACTAATGTTGCATTTGCATAACTTGCAGGGGTCATTCAAGGTCATTCATGATGTCCCTTTGGCAAACTGAGTAGGTGTCAGAGTTGGAGACATGGCAGCTAGAACAACAGGAATGGGCACCAGATCCCGGGCAACCCATCAATGTCTAAACATTAAGCATGCTACAGTTCAACACTACAAAGTCACCAGTGGAAAGAGTACAGACACAAGGCAAGCACAGTCCAGGAAACTATGATGGAGTCAGGACAGGCCAAAGGTCAGAAATAGGTGAAGCAAGGCAACAGGAGGAGATTCCTGGATGCCAAGGTGGGACCAGGAGCCAGGAAAGGACAGGTATGATACCAACCAGCACAACAACAACTCAAAAGACGTTCACAACAAGGCAGCTTCCAGAGGGAAGAGTCAGTTCCTGAATAGCTCATCCCCAGGGATTGCAGCTGGTGCTAATTGGACCTATGGTAGACTGAGGGACTAATCCTGAAACTACCAGGGCTCCCTGATCCGGCCAGCATGGAGCCCAGATGCTCCTTAGAATGGGCCTTCAGACCACAAGAAACAGACTGTGTAGTTGAGAAACAACCTGAGACCTGATGAATTCAATTTCTGGGAATATGCAGGGAACGGATAAGGAAACAGATGATTGCTTGAACATTCATCTGCAGGGGAAGATGGTTGGGGCTGATGGCTTAGAACACATCCAAGCAGTACCCAAATTCCTTTCCTCCTTCCTGCGGCAGTTCATCTAGATGCTAGAAATTAAATGGCCACCTGGAGGAAATTCAGGACACAAGGCACAGTGTGACAAAGATTGTTGCACCATTGCACCAGGCACACAGGCATGCCTCGAGGGCCATGCTACCAAGTAGCGATGTATGCCTCAGCAGCCATGCTACTGAGCCCAAAGAATATGATCAGATGCCCTGTTTGATCTTGAACATTATATTCTCCTTCGTATTTAGATCAGGCTTCAGCACTACAATGTAGCACCTGGGGATGAAGATGCAGCCTAGCAGCCCAGCACTGGAGGCCAAGATGGAGAAGACCTGCATGGCCACCATGTACTTCCCCTTGGTGCTCAGGTAGGAGGGCACAAAGGATACCCAGACACTGCAGGAGACCAGCATGCTGAAGGTGATCAGCTTATCCTCGTTGAAGGCTCCAGGCAGCTTCCTGGCCAGGAAAGCCACCAAGAAACAGACAGCAGCCAGGAAGCCCTTGTAGCCAAGGACCGTGTAGAAAAATGCCGCAGATCCTTCGTTACACTGCAGGAAGATGTGTCCAGGCTGGGACTCTGGTTCTATGTCCCAGTTGTAAGGGAATACTGAAAGAAGAAGGGGCATGGGCAGGGGAAGGCAGAGTGAGACCAAATAAAAGATGGATTGATTCCCTCAAGGAAGCCACAGCCGGGAATTTACAGGATTTGAGCAGGGCTGTCAGGGTCAGGAGGCTTTGGAGTCATTCACAGTGACATCATAAGTTGGAGGCAACTTGATTGTATGTAACAACAATTATCCTGCAAGGTATTCTAAGCTAATGGGCAGGAAGTGATATTGGGAAAATTCATATAAATCCTGGGAGTAAATGTGGCTTATATGTGCCTTTGTGCTACAAAATTATACTATTCTTACAAAGAAGCAGAATTTCCAGTCAGGTTACTTTTTAGTGTTGCTTTTCCATTATGAAGGTGGATTGCTTAGCTGGACTGAGAAGGTGCTGGAGGCTAAGATTATCAGTGGGGAAATACCAGTGTTCAGGCCACTGAGACAAAGACTTTAGTTTGTTTCTGAAGGGACCATTTAATCATCCAGCTCAACGGAGGCAAACCCGGACTGGAGTTGCCAAACCAGGTTTCCTGAATGGTTCCTCCATCAGACACAAAGCATGTTTAAGCGGACACACCAGCTGCCCTGAACGTCAAGAATTTGCTAGACTTACCTATCAATACTGCAATTGGTAATGTTTTCCATACTATTGTTCCCAGTATTTCTTATCAGTTTTGAACATTATGTCGTGCCTAAAGACATCAAGATGCTATTGTACCAACACTATCTGGAAACTTAACCCTCTGTATTGGTGCATGTGACTAGCAAGTTACAAAATGTGTCTATGCATGATCTGTGATTTTGTAGTTGCCTCTACCAGTAATACATTATCATTTTTGACTGCAGGTACTGGGGCACTGGTCCCTATATGCCCTCACACCCCTTAAGATCAATGGGGGAGGCCTTGCTCCGTAACAGTTTTTTAGTTTAGTTCATAATGTTCAATTTTAGATATTTAATAATTGTAGTTTTAATATTGTATTTCATAATTTTATATAAGCTATTCTGAGTGCATCTGTGGAAAGACAGAATTTAAATGCTGTAATAAATAAATAAAGCAAGCCACAGAGGTTCAAAGGTTAGATCTCCCCCACATATCTGAGTGTTCATTCCTTGCAAATTGAATTTTGAGATTCTGTCAGTGGCTATTTATTGATTTGTTTTTTAAATCATGCCCAACCTTGGAGGACGATTGCCTAGCAACAGTGACACATGCATTGGTTACTTCCTGGTTGAATTTGTGTAATGTGCTCTATGTGGGGTTTCCCCTTGAAGACAGTCCGGATACTTCAGTTGGTGCAAAACAGAGCAGCAAGGTTGCTGACGGGGACTGGGCATTATTCTCATATAACCCCAGTCCTCTACCAGCTTCCCTGGCTTCCCATTGAAGTCTGGGCTCAATTCAAGGTGCTGGTTATTACCTATAAAGCCCTTAATGGCTTAGGACCTGGATACCTAAAGGAACGCTTTCTTACGTATTTGCCCTCCCACCCCCTGAGATCGGCAACAGAAGCCCTCCTCCGGAAACCCTCCATGAAAGATATTAGGAGGCAAAGTACCCGGAGGAGGGCTTTCTCTGCGATGGTGCCTTGCCTATGGAATGCGCTCCCCAGAGAGGTCTGCCTGGCACCGTCGTTATTTGTTTTTCAGTGCCAGGTTATGACCTTTTTATTTCAACAATATTTTAATAACTTTTAATATTGGTTTAATAAGTTTTTAATCTGCAGCCAGGGTGGCTCTAAAATTCATTTGTATTATGTTTTATACAATTTTTTATTTATTTATGTAAGCCATCCTGAGGCCTTCACAACAGAACTGCATTTATATACTCTAAATAAATAAATAAACCTTCCATCATGAAGTGGCACTGAAGGGAATCTTGTAAAGTTTCAACCTACTAAGTTTGTCTCAAGGGTTGGGGTTAGTGTTGGGGTTCGGGTTGCAGTTAGGGTTAGGGTTAGGGTTAGAGAAATGGTTGTCAAAAGGGGATCCTGGAACAGGGCAGGGAGGTACTCTGAACTATAGAAAATGGGCATAGTTCCATTTTCATGTCTTTTATTTGCACAGGGACTCCCTGTTTGCTTGTCACAGAATGGCAGCATGATGCA